AATATTTTCTGAGTCTTGAACAGAATTAAAGTGATTTTAGATTCTATGCTCATATTATTTATTTAACCCTCAATCCCTCACCCGGGTCTGGCCAGACCTTTTTCGTTTTTGATCGTTAATTTAACACATTTCTAGTTTAGCTAGCGACTTGAGTTTTAAGTTACCTGCCTAAAATTTCATCAATGGCTATCGATCTAACAAAAGATCCATTTAAAAAAAGTCCTTAAAAAGGATAAAATAAGGATATGCAAAAACTACACCTTCGATCGCTCACCTCGGATCTGGCTGGACCCCTATGTATTTGTATGCATTTGTATGGGAATAAGGTATGCATACCATCTCATTTTTCACGAGACTGATAGAAGATAAGTGATATATGTCTTCAGCAAAGTTATAGAGCAGGTCAAGTACTACAATTTATTTCAGTTCACCATCTCTTTATCTCTAATCAGTTCCGCGAAAAATGATAAGAGATATCTCGCGTTTTTCGCAGTTTTCTGCGCAACTGATAAGAGATAACGAATCTATGTCTTGAGCAAAGTTGTAGTACTTCATCTGCCCTACTACTTTGTTGAAGACAGTCATCACTTATCTCTTATCAGTAACGTGAAATACGCGAAAAACCGCAGAAGACCGCTAGCATGATGGATAGTTTTGATTATCTTTTTTTGCGTAACTGATAACGAGATAAAGAAGAGATAAGTGATAACTGTCTTCGACAAAGTGGTAGGGCAGATAAAGAACTACAACTTTGCCCAGAGCATAAATTCGTTGTCTCTTATCAGTTGCGCGAAACACCGCGAAAAACGTAAGATATCTCTTATCATTTTTCGCGGAACTGATAAGAGATAAGGAGATGGCGAATAGAAAAAAATTGTATAACTTGACCCGCTCAATAACTTTGCTGAAGACAGTTGAACCCGTGAGCATAAAAACGACTTATTAAACAATCTCCGAACAAAACGATACAAGAAAAAACTACCAAACAAAACACACGTTAAAAACGTAACACAGCCGGACGGTACCGTTCAAAACGAAGCTCCGCTGTGCTACACATTACCGCTGTGGTACATTTTGTTCGGTAGTTTTTTCACGTATCGTTTTGTTCGGCGATTGTTTAATAAGTCGTTTTTATGCTCACGGGTTCAGTTATCACTTATCTTTTATCAGTCTCATGAAAAATAAGATGGCATGCATACTTTATTCCCATACAAATGCATACAAATACATGGGGGTCCAGCCAGACCCGAGGTGAGCGATCTAAGCGTTATAAATATGTGAGCGAAGGAGGGTTAATTTAAACCAAAGGCAGTATATTTCAAAAAAGAAATTAAACCAAGATCTCGTAATTCATTTTGCAAATAAATATATTACTTCAAAGTTACTTTGATGAAATACATTTCATGTAGTGCGCCAAAAAATAGTTTGTTGTGAAAACAACAAAATAGATTAAGTAACTAAAAACTCAAGAACGCAAAGCGGAGCGAAGCGAAGCTCTGCGGTCTTGTTTTTCTTTGGAATGCCTTCAACGGTTCTTCGTTTATAATTGGTCATTTTTCTAAGTCTCAATTTCTTACGACTTTTTTATGATTGAATTCGATTTATACTGTGAAATTAATTAAATTCGAAACGATTTTTTAGTTGAGATTGTGGATTCTTCTGGACCCATAAATGAAAAGAAGACGTTTTTCTTGTATCATCCGTACTAGGGGCTAGCCACGGATTTTTTATTGACAAAATCTGTTTTTATCGCCCAATTTTAATGACATCCGTAGAAAATTGAAGAAATCTGTATATATTGAATTTTATCGTTCAATATCCACTATAAACGTTTAATGTGCTGACGTCATTACCGATTCAAAAATGCTGGAAGTGAGTTTTGGTGGATCCTCAGGATCGTTTAGTACTGCTCCCAGTTCTGGAAGTGGGTCCTCAGGATGGGCCAGGGCATTGTCAAACCCAGTCTAGTCCATCCTGAAGATCCACCAAAACCCACTTCCAGAATCGGGAGGAGTTCTGAACGATCCTGAGGATGCACCAAACCCCGTTTCTAGAACAGTATGCATTCGTTAAAGCGAAAAAATTACTGCAAAAATCGGGCAAAATCGACCAAAATGTGATCATATCGGAATTTATTTGTTTAAATGATAAAAAATGTTAAAGTCGGTCATTATTGGTTATTTTTAAAACCGTGGTTAGCCCCTAGCATCCGTAGCACTGCTAGATTTGTGTTTGTGACAACCTCAGAGACAAAAAGCAACAAAATTTCTCGAAACCAATCCAAGTTGAGATTGTAAATAAAATTGATTGGAATTTTTTTATTCTTCCACCACATTTGGTGAATGAATAAATTAAAGGGTGAAAAAACACAAATTATTCTATACAGTGATAATATCCCTTCGAAGCTTCCTTTGAAAAAGTATTTTAAGAAATATCAAATGGCTATATGGCAGCACAGTTGATTATGATAAAAAATATTTCTTGCATTGCCATAGTTCCATGTTTGTTTTAAGTTCGACTCAACACCGTCTTATCTTTCATTCTGAGGGTTTTCATGCAGCGCTAACAATTTGAATTTTAAATAAGTGTTAATCTTTAACGATTCGGAAGAAGAGACTTTTTTTGACCTTGGAAGGATGTGGAAATAGAAGAGAAACAAGAATCTAATATGCTTTAATTTATGTATCTTTATTTTAGCTTTGAATTGAATGATCGCCCATTGTCCGTCCACAGGTAGCAATTTTTTTTAAACTGATATGGGAGACGAGCATTAATTTCACTATAATGCATCCGAAACAAACCAGTTTCATATTAACCCAATATCAAATTAGCAAACAAATTTTTGGAATGACTTGCATCACCATTCGAAGTTTATTTGTCGTTTTTTTTTATGACAATACAAAATTCGTTTTCAATATTAAAAATGATGAATACACACTTTTCCCCAGTGTTTTTCTCTTTGCATGGAACAACTTCCATTACTTATTCGTTAGTGTGCTGTCACAATTCGAGGGCATTGGAATCGTATAATTCATTGAACAGATTTTGATAGACATTTTATTGCAAAAAAAGAATTATTTGAATCAATCGTTCTTACCACCGACACTAAAAGTAGTTCCTTGCCGTCGAGATCATCTCGTGTGTCAAACGTGATATCATCGTCCGATTCGTAAGCTTCGCGAGGGTTTTGAAAATATTTGAAAAAACTGAAGTACAACACAAACGATATTGCTACCGACGAAAAAGCAATCGATAATTCATAAAACATTTTTGTTTACGGCCAGAGAGAACACCTAAATCTCACATATGTTTTCGATCGTAATCGATTCACAACTGAGTGTTTATCGTGCTAAAACATGCCCATTAGCCCATGAACTTGAAATGTTTTTGGCAAATAGTTTTGCCGAATATATATGCAGAGATAATCTCGTTTTTATGTGAAGACAAATCAAACAATACAAAGCACAACAAATGTTGAAACTCTAAGATGACTGGAAATGATTACGCTGAAATACGTTGCTTTTGGATAGATCAGCTCACAAAGCACATGGTATGAAAAAAAAGGTTTACACTTATTGCAATACATTCATTCATTCATTTTAAAAACGAATTTGTGGTGTGTTCGGTAACAACAGACATTTTTACAATAAATCTATTTGTCTTCAATGATTTGTGTCGTCATTGGTGTACTGATAGAAAGGGAAGAGAGTCTATAATAATCATACTATGACAATGACTGAAGTTTGTTTACTTTTTACAGGCTTATCAGTAAATTATTGAACCTGTGTACGAAACCCGTCATAGTTCTTATCAACATCAGTTCTCAGTAATCAAACTTCATTTGATGCAGAAACCGCATTGCAGTTCAATGCTGAGTCGGTCTGCCAAATTCGAAACTTGATGGTTGCCTTTCGTATTGAATGTATCACAGATAATTAAGTGATACCATTCTGTTTATTATTTTCATCTCTAAAAGAGACATCTAATTAGAATTTGATTTATCTGGATCTAGCAAGTTTTTCTCTCTACCAAAATTTGTTTTTATGATACTTAAAAACCCAATTAAATATGGTCGGATAAAAATTTGAGTCTGATTCATTACCTAATTCGGTGGTTAGGCATGGACTTCGTTCCAAAATTGTATTGTCTTATCCATTTGCAAATCAGCCATCTCAAACACACACACACACACACCAAAAATGCATATTTATTTGTTGCAAAAGAATCATTAACAAAGATAAATAACTTGACAAAATCTTGTTTTTTCCTTCCTCCATTTATCAAGTTAATATTTATTTCATTAGCGGTGAAGCCAATTTTGTCACATTTATCAAATCACAAGATATTGATTGAAAATGTACATTTTTCACCAAATTACCTCGATGCTGTTATATAAAAGCACGAGGTTGTTAGAACTTTTGTGTCGTAATGCACAATGTTTCAATGTTATCGTGCAGCTTTGATTTTGGTCCATAGAAGCTATATTCAATGGACCATCTCTCTTCAACTTTCCGCACATCTATTCGCAGCACATCCGTATTCTTGTTCGAATCTAGCCACAAATAAATATTTTCATCAACATTTTCATTGCTTCACGGATTGAGCTGGGTTCAATTTTTGCTCGTATCATTTTTTCTAAAAAAAATTTAAAATCTTCATTGGAACATTTATTGCCAAAACATGTTAATTGATATTGAAATCAAAAATCTAATTACGAAAAAGAAAACAACGTAAAAACCGTCTGTCACTGATTGATCGAATTGAAAATCACGTGCGATCCGAAGAAATTGGCAAATTGGACAATTATCAAACGAACGGAACCGTTAAAAGCTCTTTTCCACATGCTAGCTATTGCATTTCTGCTGAATATCAACAACAACAATTATTATTATTATTTTTTCACCAATCAAACTGTTTTTTATCCTAATCCAATCGATTGATCGATGGTTTCTGACTAAGGTCGATCCACAACTGAACAGAATATTTCGGCGATTCGTGCATATGATTCAGTAATAATTTGCATATTTGTTGTTTTTTTTCTGTTTAACAACCCATAAAATACTCTTGCAAACACATGAGAAAGTCTCACCGAGAACGAGAGACTAAAGCTCCGACGAAATGAGCAAATATGTCACATAACAAAAATGATCTGAAGCTTCCGACGTGTGTGTCGGTTATATCGTCATCATGATGATCATCGTGTCGCATTGTTTTGAAACTGTAACAAAAGAACAGGAACAATAAACTCAACGTGTAGAAACAATCAGAAAAAATGAGAATACAAATTTACGGTCTCTATCCAGTGAGACGACAAACGAATGAATTACACGCAACGATCATTTAATTACAAAATATATATGTGAAATGAAAAAATCAAATGAGCAACCGACAAACAAATTATACGACACCTTGACAATGAAATCGTCATCATTATTTTATCGTGTACGTGTACACTCACTATGTAAGTATCGAAGGTTTTTTTTTAAACATATTGTCAAATGTTTTTATTGAACCCAAAAATACCGTTTAGTTCTAGTAGAGAGTCTCTTACCTAAACGCCATATACGGTTATGACTAGAGCATCGGATCATACACTGGTCTGACAAACACTGAATTAATTGAACGTGGACGTTTCATCGCATTTTCGACGCTCAGTAAATCTTAACTGCACTTTCATTCTCAGAGTGTCACAAGCATATGTCGTCGTTCTTATCAGTGATTGCGATCAAATCGAGCAATTTGGGTCGAGTCTGGAATTGAATATTACCTTTGGCTTACAAATGAGCTAATTCGATTCTTAGAATTAGTCATCACTTAGTTGTGCGATATGGATTGCGCGTCGTCATCGTCCAGTTGTCTAAAGAAAAAAGTGATTTTTGTTCAAAGTAATGTGCATATATGTGAATTATTTTGAAACAGCGGGTTTTTTTCTTTCAAAAATAAGCGATAACAAATAGTGTTTATTTTCTTTATTGGTTTTAGAGTTAATAAAATAAATCGTAATACTAAGGCTAGCTATTTTGAATACCAAATTCTTTCATCGTACTAATAGTATGTTCCATGGCAATGCCGTTGCGTATGATTTGGTAGTAGCCTGGTACTGATAGATCCACAACAGTCGATGCACAACGTTGTTTCATATCATTATCCCTGTCGCCCAAATGTCCACCATCAAATACGACACTCAGATCTGGCCAAAGGTCGGCAAATTCAAAAACATCCAATGTACTGCTGGCACCGCTTTTGTTTGCACTGGTCAGTGCGATGGGCTCAATAAATTTGGCCGAAACTTTTTGAATGAATTCATAATCGGGAATGCGAAGGCCAATCTTGCGAATTCCATTGTTCAAAAATGGGTTGTTCAAGTACTTGGATTTATTTAAGATAATTGTAACTGCCCCGGGGAGTAATCGAGACAGCAATTCATCGGGTAAGTGTGATGCTTCGCTGTAATGCTTCAGTTGTGATATACTTGACACACATACGGCAACCGGTTTCTCTTCGTCGCGTCCTTTTATCTCGTACAACTTTTGTATGGCATGCGGATCGTTGGCACTGCACGCCAAACCATAAACCGTATCCGTTGGCAAAGCAATTACCTCACCATGATGCATTCGATCAGCGGCTATTTCAACCGCATGCTCATCACAGCAGCTCATAGTTTTTGACATACCCATTGGATTGGCACAACCATTCGATAGCATTGCAACGTTATTCATATTTATATCACTTAATTTGCTACTCATTTTCTGTGCTTGCGAAAAATAATTGTTCAGAGAGCTCACAAAACGTTTCATTTTGTCCATCAAAATTGTTGACTGTGTGTGTGTATGTTTGTGTATTTTGTTCACGCTTGATTCACATTTTAATCACGCCAATTGTGGGCGCACAATGCGTTGCAGCATTTGTAAAATGTTGTCATCGGTTCGTCAGCTGACCGGGTTTGCATTTGCATGAAATAGGCTCGACCGTGATTGCAGGCAGGACAAACAGCGTCTGTTGAATCAACGTTCTCCCATGCAGCCGAACCACCCATAACCGCATCAACCTCCTGAAATTATGATATTCGATGCGAAAAGGCGACCATAAATAGCTGATAATTGAGGTGAAAATGCTTCAATAAAAAAAATTTACCTTCAACTTCGGATAATTACGCGATTTCACCACTCGTGATATGTTACTGATGTAAGGGCATGTACCACACGAAAATCGTAAGCAATTCGCACTTTCTTCGACCAATAATAGATTGCCGCAAGTTGGACAAAATAGCAGCATATTCGTCGACGCTTTTTCACCCAAACAACAACATTCGTTTCCTAATCTCAATGCGTTCAACAACAAAAAATCCAATCAAAATGAGAAAATTTCACAATTTGACCAAAGAATTGCTAAACAGCTGAAATGACAATATTATCACAATGCCGCAAAAATATTCACACAACGTGTTTACTCACTGACTTTTATGTTTCCTAATTATTTTCGTTGACATTTCCCTCTGTTGGATTTTTTCTTAACCATTCCAGGGTCTATACCGATTCGACTGTACTAGAAATGAACACAGGACTAAAATAAATACAAACAATTTGATTGAATTCGTAGCGTTTTTGTTTATTGTTTTTAAAATTAAAAACGTTTTTTTCACGCTTCGTCAAGCATAAAAGTGTCGTTTTTTTGGTTGTTGCTAATTTAAGTACATTGAATAAGTCTTTTCAAGAAAATTCACAAGATTAATCGATAGACATTATTGTTTATAGTTGTTCTGTGTGTGTAAAGTGTGTAAATATTTTGTTTATCGAAAGAAGAACGGTGAAGAAAGCTGTAACGTTTCTATTTTTTGGATAAGACAACAACGACATCGACGAGCCAATAAAATGATTGTCGCAAATCACCTTCGCATAAATAGGGCGCCTTTGTCCAGGCCTCAACACAAAATCCCATCGTTTCCAATTGTTCGAAAAAGGCTATGAGAGAAAAATAAAATCCATAAAATAGGTAACAAGAAAGAAAAAAAAAACTTACACTGGGCCTCCAAATTGAATGGGAGGGATATGGCATCGAGCCAGTGTGGCAACAGTGGTTTGATGGGCAAATGTGACGTATCTGGAAAATGAGTGTGATTTATTAGTTTCAAGCACGACGCAACATCAAACTCGTACAAACAATTTATTCGGCAAATACATGTTCGAAAATGCCAAGCGGTCAGTATCGAAAATTTTGCTAAAGCACTAAATTGTGAATATTTGAAAACGTTAGCCAGAAGTGTATGGCATAATAACGGTGATATTTCATGTCTAAACCGACTTTTGACGTGATTTGAAAAATACATAATTTAGTAGTTTATTTATGACTTTTCTTCGGAATCAACTCTACTCACTGGTTTCTACGTAATGGCTGTATGGTAACACGAGAGCGATGACTGCACGTCCTTCGGGCGACAGAGCCCGATGAATGTCATTTAAAATTTGATGCGGATCGGCGCATCGATCCAGCACATTTAGGCAACATACCAAATCAACGTTCTCCACTTCATCTAGCTTATCAATCACACTATAATTTCAAGGAGGAACAAAATACGAATTAGATAACGCCCTAAATCAAATAATTTCATATTCGCGCCGTAGGAACACTCGGAATTCGAAAGACTTACATAAATTTCTTTTCCTGTAGACGTTCGCGCATAGTCCAGCTATATTCAGTGGCAAACACCTTGAGGAAAATGTTATTTTTCATATGCACAATTCCCTTGACTAGTCGCATGGTGACCTCACCATCACCCGCACCAATATCTATACAAGAGAAGTAAGAGGAATATTGTGCCATTACGGAGCAACAAGAAAAACCACTATTGCCAAGTACCTAATATTGAAATTTCGTTGTCTTTGGCCGATAAACGATTTACATTGAATCCACCAAATGTAAGGAGCCACTTGAACTGTTCTTCGGATAGAATGAACATTGAACCGCGACGAAGAAGGCTAACAGAGGGGAAAAAGACAATAGACACATGTATAAAATCGTTATGAATATTTTATTCCACACTATTTCCATCCATATTCATACTCTAACTTACCCATTAATCGATGTTTGTGTCATAAAAAAACTAAGGAATGTTCGTGCAACTAAATGCCATAGCTGTAGCCAGAGATTACTGGACAGCTCTTTGGCTCGATTCAACCAGTGCAACGTGGTTTCGTCGGGTTTTTCCAGTGCCAAAAACTTGGTTTGATAGCGATCTGGCAGTGTTTTTGATAGCGTGTACCACTGCAAAAAAAAAAACAATGAAAAATTATTAATTGGGTCAGATTAAACTGCATGCTGCTAAATTATGAATGCCATGGCATATAAACACCGTACCAATCTCATGTCATATCCCTCCAGGTATTGATCATTGTGGATTTTATCGTAAAGCGTACGAGCTAGCGTTCCCCGAGGTCGATAGGTCATTTTTTGGGCGTAAAATGTCTATCTCCAGATGTAGTGATCCGCAGAATGGTGCAAAAACAACAACCGTGTATCAACGAATTCACGCCACCCCACGATTTCAATGTCTTCTTTTTTAAATTTCTTTACGTCCCAGCTAAAACGCTGTTTAATGACGGTTTCTGCTTATCACTGCTAATCAATGGTGCGTGTGGTGTGACAGTTGACCGAATTTACCTCAACTCATGTTAAAAACTTAAGTAAACATTGTCGATACACACATTTCAACGTTGAACATTTTTTTACACTTTTTTCTCACTCTGTCTCTCGTTCGACAATTGTCACATTCAATAGTTTATTTAATCATTTTGATACGATTCGTAAATTCAATGGTGAAGAGACAAATCAAAATCGACTTGCTCCGGAGAAGAATTACACTTTTATGTCAAACACACAGCGAACACACTGAATGCCAACAACGGTGGCACAGATGTCAACAAACTGAATTGTCAAATTCGTTGGTTCAAATATGCGAGCATCGGCCAATGTCTCACTATTACAACGAAATGCAGGTTTATATAAATTCGGAAAACGTTGTTCTGAATGAAAATTCCGTACAAACGACCGAATGCATTTTTATATTGAATATTCGCGTAATTCAATATCTTGCACTGTCATTAAAATTTTGAAGTCTACGTGTTTTTATTCTTTTGTTGATTGGACGTTGAATCGACCAAAAGTCAAAACGTGCATACGTGAGGTGTTATGTAGCCAACTTCATTCGATTAGTTGTTAAGGTCCAAATGAACGGCGATCGACAGTAGAGAAACAGAGACAGGCGCTAGCGAATTATTTTGATACATTTGGTGATTTTTTTCATAAATATCAAGTCATCATTTTTGTTGATTGCATCGAGGTTGAACACTTTTACCTTGCCAATTTTGTTTACGAAGAAAAAAGTTGAGTGAAAGGTCTTTTTTAAAACAACGACCGAAAATGTTCTCGCTTCAAGCACATAATCAAGTGAGTATATGCGTGTGTGAAAATTTCGTGAATTTACATCATCATTTCATCACAAGTAACCTATGTCATGCTCTTGCAAAACAGTCAACACAAGTCAAAAATAAAACAAACTTCAATTTTAAATGCTATGGCCTGACTGGCTATTGCGTATTTAGTAAAAGTCACACTAGCAAAATACTTATATATTATATTTATATTTGTTTTTGCAGCAAATTTTATTTCATTTGAGTCAAATAACATCACGACCACATACGATTCGACAGTCCAAATCTGGGAGAAAAACAAATAAAACCGCCCAAAATGAGTTCGAACGATTGTGTCAGGAGAGTTTATGTGAAGCGCTTCGCAATTTTCAAGCCTCAACCAACACATCCATTCTGGAGCTACCATTAGCATCGATCGCAAAACAAAAACTACCACTGACTGGATCACGTACACAAACACGGAGTGCAATAAAAACTTTGGATAGGTTAGAAGACAATATTAGAATGAGTTACGTGTCAAAAAGTTCATTTCGAGAGAATAGGGCCGAACCAATACACGATGGCCAACTACAACAACAACAACAACAACAACAACAACAAAAGTCTTTCGCCAATAGCACCGATATCGCCTCCAGAACAGCATCAATTGTCAATCATCCGAACACCTTCCTAATAGCATCGAATCTAGTTCATCAGCTCAGTCAGCCGATATTCCGAAATTCAATGCAAATTCGCGGTTTTAAAACACAACGAAACATTGAATCACAACTTAAACGAAATCCGTCATTTATGTCGCGAATCCAACTCAGTTTCGGTAAGTTCGGAAACAGTGAATGTGTTGCAATTGTGAGTGGTACTAAATGGTTTGGTGATTTTTTTTCTAGCTCCACTTTCGAAAGTTGATACTGTGAATGCAGCGTCAAAACAACGTAATGAAACTCTAAATAAGCTACTGGCACAGGCTGATGACAATTCAACGTCAGGCGATGATCAGAAGCAACGTATCAAAGTGGCATTTGCTGAAGGTTACTTAGCGGCGAATACGGAAGATAAATTGGGCATTGCTGCAAAATTCGTTAAGGTAATTTTCGCATAATTTCAGCATGTTCACATGTTACATAATCAGCACTATCATCTGATGATTGTTTATTATTTCTGATTGACATACTCACTTACTCACACAGCTTGTGTCGCAAGTTATCTCGTTGGCGCTTTTCATCGCACTGGTCTATCTGTTATTTTCGGCACAAGGCTCCATATTTAGGTAGGTACAAAACGAAATGAATTTTCCCCTTTGGTAGATGCATTTCGTTCGTGTTTCTGTTTCTGTTTCAATTCAATTCGTGGACAATGTTGAATACTAACGTATGCCATTACACTTACATGGATCGGATGGGTGATACACGTAGTCGGATACAGTTGGGCTCACAGATTGAGGTCGATCCAGAGGACATTAATGTGACATTCAACGATGTCAAAGGCTGTGATGAGGCCAAACAAGAGTTACATGAAATTGTCGAGTTTTTGAAAAATCCCAGCAAATTCTCACAACTCGGTGGCAAATTGCCGAAAGGTGTTTTGCTGGTTGGACCTCCAGGTAACAACAATACGAACGAATTAGTTATTTCGAACGAATGTTTCAAATCTTTTTTTCATTTAAATAACAACAGGAACTGGCAAAACGCTGTTGGCACGTGCAGTGGCTGGCGAAGCTGGTGTTCCATTTTTTCATGCGGCAGGACCGGAATTTGATGAAGTACTTGTAGGTCAAGGGGCTCGACGTGTACGTGATTTGTTCAAAGCAGCCAAAGATCGTGCACCATGTGTGATTTTCATCGATGAAATTGATTCGGTGGGTGGAAAGAGAACGAATTCCGTTTTGCATCCGTATGCCAATCAAACGATTAATCAACTGCTTTCCGAAATGGATGGATTTCATCAGAATGAAGGCGTCATTGTACTTGGTGCGACAAATCGACGAAACGATTTAGACAAAGCTTTGCTTCGGCCCGGCCGTTTCGATGTCGAAGTATCGGTACCAGTTCCCGATTTTATTGGGCGACAACAGATTATTGCGCTTTATTTGAAGAAGGTGTTGCATAAAGATGTTGATATTCAGCAATTGGCACGGGGGACCACTGGTTTTACGGGAGCCGACCTTGAGAATATGATTAATCAGGCTGCTTTGCGTGCCGCCATCGATGGGGCCGACGTTGTTACAATGAAGCATTTGGAAAATGCACGTGACAAAGTAATTATGGGTCCCGAACGCAAATCACGGTTGCCTGATGAAGAAGCCAATGAAATTACGGCCTATCACGAAGCTGGCCACGCAATCGTTGGCTACTACACAAAAGACGCGAGCTCCTTACACAAAGTTACAATTATACCACGTGGCCAATCGCTTGGGCACACCGCATATCTACCGAAAAAAGAACAGTATCATGTGACAAAGTCACAATTGCTTGCCATGATGGACACAGCTATGGGCGGACGTGCTGCCGAGGAATTGATTTTCGGACCAGAGAAAATTACCGCTGGCGCTGGAGATGATCTCAAACGCGCCACCAAAATTGCCCACAACATGGTCAAAGACTTGGGCATGTCAGACAAATTTGGCCTTCGAACGATTCAGGATCCCGAACCGTACGCTGGCGGTGATAATCTCGGACCAAACACAACCGAACTGGTAAATATTTGGCAGCTTATTTTTTCCAATTGAATTTTTCTTTTATTAATTTTACCCATTTGCGATGTTGCCCATTTCAGATCGATGCTGAAATCAAACGCATCATGACAGAGAGCTATGATCGAGCGAAATCAATTCTCAAGACACATGCAAAAGAGCACAAAGCTCTGGCTGAAGCTCTTCTCAAGTACGAAACACTCGATGCCGAAGATATAAAATCGATTTTGACGGGCGCCAGGAAGGTCACCGAAGGCAGCAATTGATCCGCTTCCTGTTTCCAAAATGTATAAAATACGATCACATGGCGATGATGATGCATCTATATATATATAGTATATATCAATCAGAACAACAACACACACATAATTCTAGTTTTATAGAAGCGTAGATAAAAAAAATGAACATATATGCAATTGCAAATGCGAAAAACCATAAGCTGCTGTTTTATTTCATTCTTTATTAATTCAAAAATACAAATAATTTCTACTTAATGCAAATAAATATCGTAATTTATACATGTTGAATTTCAAATTTTCTTTGTTTTTCAATTAGAATTGTATTCAATGTTTCGTGTAAGAGGCTAAAAAGAATATTTTACAATCTGAAGATCTAGAAATTTCCTTAACAGGTCAACTTTAATAAACGACAATTTTCAATCATTTGTCCCTAACCAGTCTTATTGCCACTTAAATAATGCATTATCGCTATTAAGGGTATAAATAATAACGGAATTATTTAAATGAACCGATCATAACATTATGTGAAGTGGATTCAAGCTGCGGTATTTCTTCGATTTTGAATAACGTAAAATTTCAAACTGTGTAGAGAACCAATTGAAAGGTTATATTCAACGGAGTGTTTCTCCATTTAAAAGTATGAAGGATTTGATGCATGAAATAAATGGTGCGGTATATTGTATTTGCATTAGATGTACGAATGCAGTTGTTGTTACGTAAATAACACATCGGTCAATAAGTCCGTAGGATAACAAAGAAAACACAGTTTTTTCGGCCAAATTTTGATTTATTTATCGACATAGTTTCCTTCAAGAGTGATACAATCCGTCCAACGCCTCTCTAGCTTTTCGATACCAGTTTTGTAGAACAAATTGTCTTTCGACTCAAAATACGCCTCAGTTGTGGAAATTACCTCTTCATTTGAGCCATATCTTTTGCCAGCGAGCATTTTTTTCAGGTCTGCGAAGAGTTAGTAGTCGCTGGGGGCTAGATCTGGAGAATACGGTGGGTGCGGAAGCAATTCGAAGCCCAATTCATGCAATTATGCCATTGTTTTGATCGACTTGTTACACGGAGCATTGTCTTGATGAAACAGTATTTTTAGCACTACATGAAATGTAGAGCTACTAATCTGCTTTTTTCTCTAGATACTTTTTGAGTGTTGAAACAAGTTATGGTGAATTTGAATTTTATGCTCATATTTTTATTTAATTTAAAACTGGTGCACTAACGACAAATAAGTGCACAACATCTCAAAGCGCCAATCAAATTTTTATTATCAAATGTTTTTTTTTAAAATTACATTAATTTTTCATACAGTATTTTCTGGGTCTTGAACAGAATTCAAGTGACTTTTGATTCTATGCTCATATTATTTATTTAATTTAAACCAAAGGCAGTATATTTCAAAAAAGAAATAAAACCAAGATCTTGTGATTCATTTTGAAAATAAATATATTAAAACAGAAGTTACAAAACCTACCTGACTCAACTTTTGGTAATTGGGCCAGTCTCAAATCACCCGACAGATAATTTTTGACGAGATAAGAAACCGACTTTATCCAAATTTTAAGCTACTAGTCAGTACATTGAGCAATTGAAGTTATATTATTTATTTATTTATTATTATTGATTTGTGTCATTTTAAATGTTATGTATATTATTTTATTTGTTTGCAAGCATAGGTTCTGACACTAAATGCCGTTTTTCTGCACACATCAATTTCTCGTTGAAATTGAGAGCAATCTCAAAACTGTTTGTCGCATTGGAATCGGAATCGAAAATAGTTTCAAAAACATTTGGAGCGGGAGGCGAAGCAGCCCCAAGGGTTGAAATGACCCCATTTAGGTCAAATTCGACAACACTTGATTTTCGACCAAAATTTCAAGAAAATTGAAAAAACTAATGATGCCATTCGATAGCCAATCCAAATGATCAGCCTGAAAGGAGGGTCTAGGGGGTCATTTCCCCCTCCCAGGGTTCCAAAATCGCATGTGAATTTTTTTTGTGCACTTTTTTCATTCTCGTGCGATTTTGAAGCCCTGGGAGGGGAAAATGACCCCCTAGACCCCCCCTTTCAGGCTGATCATTTGGATTGGCTATCGAATGGCATCATTAGTTTTATCAATTTTCTTGAAATTTTGGTCGAAAATCAAGTGTTGTCGAATTTGACCTAAATGGGGTCATTTCAACCCTTGGGGCTGCTTCGCCTCCCGCTCCAAATGTTTTTGAAACTATTTTTGATTCCGATTCCAATGCATCAAACAGATTTAGGATTGCTCACAATTTCAACGAGAAATTGATCTGTGCAGAAAAACGACATTTGGTGTCAGAACCTATGTTTGCAAGTCAAATCTATTTATTACCTATGTTCTTAATATTTTACCTATTTTCACCTTCTCACATTTTAAACCTAAGTCATTACGTGCAACAACGAGAATAACTATACCAATCATAAACCTAAAACAAAACAAGACCCTATACAAAAACCTATGTATTACATCACTATGTTACCTATTATTCAGCCAGTATTTGGCGGTGTCAATAAATAATAATAATTACTTCAAAGTTACTTTGATGAAATACATTTCATGTAGTGCGCCAAAAAATTGTTTGTTGTGGAACAGTTATCAATAGTTTGTTGTCTGCGGTCTTGTTTTCCTCTGCATGTGTGGCCGTTTCGCAGCGATTTCTCGCTTCAAACGCTCGAGTTTTGGAATATAATAATCAGTATTGATCCTCTTTCCCTTCTCAAGGTAGTCGATGAACAATATACCATGCGTATCCCAAAAAACTGAAGCCATTACCTTGCCAGCTGATGTTTGAGTTTTTGGTCGCTTTGGTCGCGGTTCTCCCGCTGCTGTCCACTCGGATGATTGCCGATTTGACTCCGGTGTGAAATGATGGATCCAAGTTTCATCCATTGTCACATACCGACGCAAAAAATCCTTCTCGTTGCGCCGAAACAGCTCCAAACAGGCCTCCGAATCGTCGACACGTTGTTGTTTTTGGTCCACTGTGAGCAAACGCGGCACCCACTTAGAAAAGAGCTTCCGCATCGGCAAATGCTCATGCAAAATTGTGTGCACACTGCCTTTCGATATCTTTAGAGTGTCTGCTATCTCTTGCAACTTCACTTTACGATCGGCCAAAACGATTTTGTGGACTTTTTTAATGTTCTCTTGAGTAACTGCTTCATTTGGCCTTCCACTGCGGGGCAAGTCTTCAGTCGAGCTACGACCACGTTTAAACTCGGCAAACCACTTCTCAACCATTTGTCTCGACGGAGCAGATTCCGAATAACACTTTTCAAGCCATGCTCTTGTTTGAACGGTGTTTTTTTCCCATCAAGAAGCAATGTTTCTGGAGGTTGGTACTCCCTGCCAATATCATTGATTCGGCCGAAGAGATGCCATCTGTGTGTCATCGTACGGACTTATTGACCGATGTGTTATGCCGAATTCATCGATTACTAATTGTTCATCACGTTTTAAAATTGCGCCTATCACTAATAATTCCGCCGTAGCAATGACATCGTTACCAAATATATCGGTTAGCGTAAGTTTGTCGTCATTTCAGAATAGGGCCAACAGCCAGCCAACTTTATCGACCTTATGCATTTTGATTGAAGTGAAAAAAAAATTGTAGCGCTTCACCAAATTCATAAATTTGTGTGCAAAGTAAAAGCCGTAAAACATTCATTACTTTAATGAAGAAGGGAAGGAAATTATGATGCAGCATCGCAATGCATCGGCTTTACTCGGCGTTCGTGTAAACGATTCATAACACAAATATTACAGTCGCAATAACAACGCACAAATAATTCTAGCTTTATAGAAGCGTAGATGAAAAATGAACATAATATGTAAAACATGAGCTGCTATTTTTCATTTCATTGTTTCATTTAATTCAACTACTAGATTTAGAGAAAAAAAATCCTTAATGCGAATGAATATCGTAATTTAAGCATGTTGAATTTCAACTCAAGTTTTGTTCGATTTTCAATTAGAATTCTATTCAACATTTCGTGTACATTGGATGCACCCAAGCTGGTGGTAGCAATTCTAGAATTTCTAATAACGTATCGTAATTTTTCATTCTTAGCGTTGAGTCTTTCGCTGTTTCGCCAAACGTGTGGCCAGTTCTTCGTCTTCAATCAAATCACTCATTTGAACGTGCTTCTTATTGGGGCAACCAACGATCGGACAGCTGTGATTGCAATTGAAAAATAATTGAAATAAATTTTCTATCGAGACAATAATTAAAAAATATTTAAAAATTTGTTACCGTAGTCGAGCATTCTGTTGAATTGATTGCTGAACGCTGTTGAAGCCATAGATATGGTTACAATGTTTGTTGCGCACCGGGCGTTCCAATTTTTGCTTGGTGATTGGATCGATGTCTGGAATGTGTTCTTGGACCTGAGATGAATCGAGGTCAATCGTCATGTCGACATCTTGTGACGCTTGTGATGCATCATCTCTTTCGACATCAACTAACCGTTGTGCTTTTTTCACGAAATCTGTGTACCGTTTTGATGTTTGGGGCTTGAATTTCGGATGCGATTCATCTCGATGGTCTTCCAGAACCTGTTCAACACAATTGAAATGAATTTTTGAAAACACTTTGATATTAAGAATGAAATGTCCATCCATTGCTACACCAGTAACATGTCAAATCTTGTACGAACCTGATCGAATGTCTCAACCGATCCTTGTTTGGCCGCTTCTTTCACGATATCGTGACCAAGCAAGAAGCCGTGTTCAATTTTGCACACCGATTTTGCCATTTCTTTGTATTTTTCAACGTCAGCATCCACTGTAAATGGAAAAAATTCATGAATTATGGTTTTTCTGGTCAATTGTAAAGAAAATAGGATTGTCATACGAACCGGCATCACCGTATTTCAATGCAATGTCCAACGTGTTGTGTAAACTTTTGAGAATATTATCACCATGACTTATTCCATTCATTTTGAACAGCACAATGTTCCAAACCAATATTAGAATATAGTTTTTACACTTCCAGCGAATTTTCTTCGGAAAATTATCAAAATCTATTGCAGCTCCAACGATTTGTATTGACTGTAGCGCTAAAATGATTTGCGAATTGGCGTTAAGTATGCGTCGTATTTGAAGTAACTGTCAAAAGTGACAGTTGAATACCAAAACAAACACCGATAAATAGCATCACAGTATCGAACATACAAGCAAACAGTTTCAAGAACACAAACGAATAGATCAAAATAAGTTATTGCAACATTTTTTGATGTATTTTTTTTCTTCCGATAAACATATCTCTTAGAGTTTCTATTTATTAAACACAATATTAGCAATAAAATTTGGAAAAAATGGATTTTTTAAATGATATTTTTGGTAAAAAACCAACGCTCAAAGGTAAGTAAATTGGTCAATTATTCGACTGGAATTGTTCGCATTGTTTTCAATTCGCAATTGTTTTCAATGCTATGAGTCATCAGTGTGAGCATTGATTTGCTAATTTATTCTTGTTTTTTTTTTCTCTTCAGAGCAACAACGTGAGAATGATCGGGCACTAAGAAAAGCTGGCCGTGAGATTGAAAGAGAACGGCGAAAGTTGGATGATGAAGAAAAGAAAATTGTAAGATTTTCAAAAATTGTACCATTTCCACCAAATGTTTGTTAGTTTTTAATCTCCATTCCTCTGGAATTCGATTAAAATATACAGGAAGCCGAGATAAAGAGAAGCGCAAAGGAGGGAAACAAAGATGCGTGTACTTTGTTGGCTAAGCAGTTGATTCAAGTACGAAAACAGAAGAATCGCACCTATGCAGCAAACAGTAAAATTTCCAGCGTTGGTTTTCAGAATAAGGCAATGGGCGCTAATGTAGCGATAACCGGAGCCATGGCAACCACGTCCAAGACAATGGGTGAAATGAACAAGATTATGCGACCAGAGAAGATTGCCGGCGATATGAGAGCATTCCAACAGGCGAACATGAAGATGGAAATGACCGATGAAATGAGTATGTCTTTAAATATGATTCGAAATTGAAACAAATCGCTTGAATTTAAAAAATTTCTAATATTCTTTTCCAATTTCTCACTTCAGTCAATGAGACACTTGATGACATGCTCGAGGAGTCGGGTGATGAAGAGGAAACCAACGGAATTGTTAATAAAGTGCTTGATGAAATCGGTATCGAAATTTCTGGCAAGATGCACGATGCACCGAACGCAGTTAAGGATAGCCTTGGCAACTCGTCCAAACTCACCGAAAAAGACATCGAAGCCCAATTGGCCAAGCTAAGATCAACGTGATCGTTCAAATTGATCAACATCTTATGATTGGAGAGATTTTTTTTCAATTTTTTCTAGAATAAAGTCAAACACATTACGCATTTTTAGTTGTTTGCTTCGATTATTGTATAAGTTGAATTTGTTCTCTTCTATTTGCGATACTTAAACAGATGTTTGTTCAAAATATGAGTTACTGTTATAAGTAAATATCGCGCAAAGCACAAAGTATCAGATTTCTAAAATCAGGGCTCGTGATAACAAAAAATGACTCAGTCCCATGTTTGCTCACTGATTCATAGTAAAATGCTATCGGAGTGAAAATAGCCTAAAACAGAAATCAACGATAATAAATATTATCTACGTTTCTAAAAGGTTATCATCCATCCGTTGAATGTGGCTGGTATTTCTAGATTCTCACTAAAACATTGCGAGAATGACGGACTATTTGTGAAAGCCCTGCATAAACGTCATTCTGTCATGCGTAGTATTTAATAGAAATTTCATCATACACTACGTTCACAGTGTTTGCATTTCTGAGTTAGCGATGCTTGTACGTGTATGCGTGTGTATGTGTATATGTTTGAAGCAAACACTAACTCATTCACTCACTCGCACACTCGTCTGTGTGTGTATGTGTAAGGAATACAATCGCTGAGCTGTTTGAACCAGTAGCTTTTCGAAGGGAATATCGTTCAGACTATTCTCGGCGCCGAATTGTGTTCTGTGTGTGTCGACCGTGTCGAGTATGTGTTCATGAAGTGCAATAAAAACATTGAAAAAAAAAGTTAAATTTGAATTTGAAAAATCGCACGCACAAAAATCAGGAATATTTTGATATTCTTCTAGATTTTTGGAAGAAATAATTGCGAATTTGAAACGAGTTAAAATAAAAATCAGTAATCACGAGTTCTAAACGTAGACAAAAATCGAAAGAAATGACTTGGGGTTTCGGTACGTATTTCACAGTTGATATTCCATTGAATATTCTATTGGTGGTATTGAAGTGGCGGCTTTTGTAATACAATATGTGCACAGAATTCCATTAGCAAAACGAATAGAAAACTAAATGTTCATACAGATGATGTCATATGCCGCCGACCAATCCGACTTTTTTATTCTTCTACAACAAAAAAATCGCATTTAGCAGGCATGATTTTTTTTTTATCTAATCGTGATGTTTAATATCGTATCAATTTCGTTTAATTTGCAGTAACTTGTGGTCCAAACGAGGCGCTCGTCGTTTCGGGTAAGTGTATTATATACAAAATTTCTATAGCTCGTTGTGTTTGCAATCGTTGTTGTTGTTCCGTTCTGCGAGATTTATACATGGGTATTGTATCGATTTTTTCCGCCTGTCGCCTGTGTGCGTATGTGCATGCATGCATGAGTGTGTGTGTGTGTGTGTCTATTCGTTCGTTCGATTAACTGTGTTTCGGCGGTTCGAGATACACAGCGGCAGGATTGTGATGGATGTTGATGTTATTTTCGAGTTTGTGATATGAAATATGGCTTGATTGCCTACTGAATGTGTGACTGAATAAGAGGGTGTGTGTGTGAATTTTGGATCCAAAGTTAAACAATGCGTGAACATTTTCAGGTTTCAATCGCGCCTTAAATCTATTTTTAATGTACGGTAACGAAGAAAATGTATATCCGTTTAAAAAGGTAAACCATAAAATGTTGGTAAACAGGACTCGAGACTGTACTGCAAAACATTCTAATGTTCACCCACAGTCAATATGACAATGCTAATCGAGAATGCTAGAAATAGACTGGATAATTGAAGTGACAAACCGGCCAAACACGCTATACAGCACAAGCACGAATCTTACTGAAAAAAAAACATAGCCTCAACCGAATGTTTAATATTCGCTGTGTGCGCTTATAATTGAAAGCAATTTCTGTCGTTGGCGAAATATGAGCGCTGTCGTCATCAATGTATAGTGCCTTTGCATGCACTAATTGCTGCGATATGAAATTGAGAATATATGTGATGATGATGATGATTAGATCATCAAGTGAATAGGATATATATTGATTTTGATTGAACTGGGCCCCGCATCTCCATGTCGTATGAAATTGCTGCTCTAATTTTAGACATATTTAGATTGATTGATTTTTTTCCCCGCAGAATATTAGATGTGAATGTTTCTTGACTACGCGAAAATAGTCAATTGAAATTGGATACATATGGTTTTTCTTTTCTTTTGCAGGATGTTGCTACATGAAACCATTGTTGGTTCCCGGCGGTCGTGCATTTGTGTGGCCATCAGTTCAACGGGTCCAACGGTATGTTCTCCCGAAATGCGTTTTTCATCCCCATGAATCCTTCGTCTTCTTTTTCTTTGTTTTTCTTTTCTGGTTTGTGATGATTAAATTATCTTTTTGATTTCGTCTAGAATTTCCTTGAACACGATGACACTGCAAGTGGAGAGTCCGTGTGTGTATACCAGCCAAGGTGTACCGATCTCGGTCACTGGCATTGCACAAGTAAAAATTCAAGGTCAGAACGAGGATATGCTGTTGACCGCATGCGAACAATTTTTGGGTAAAGGCGAAAGCGAAATCCAGCACATTGCCTTGGTCACGCTGGAAGGTCATCAACGCGCCATCATGGGTTCAATGACAGTGGAAGAAATCTATAAGGATCGCAAAAAATTCAGCAAACAAGTGTTCGAAGTGGCATCTTCCGATTTGGTGAATATGGGCATCACTGTTGTGTCATATACACTCAAAGATATCCGAGACGAAGAGGTAAACATTCAATTGAATATTCGCAAATTTCGTTTTTTTTTCTATTCTCACTCTTTTTTCGTCATCTTCTTAGAGTTATTATTCAGTCGTAAGTTTTTCACAATTCTTTAGCTTAAATTGGGCTTTCATTTATCCCATTCTTCAACTAACGTTCATGTAAACTTCTCTTCTTTTACTATCAAACATTCCTCATTCAAATGTTCTGCAATTAATCGAATTAAATGTTTATGTTTATTTTTTTTCCTTCACTAACAATTGGCAATTACATAAACTATCGTCACTGCATATGATTCGAAACAATGGAGAGACTGACTGTTAGAAATTGTTTTCTGCTATTATCAAAACAGATAACCAATTCAGCTTGAATACAGAGGCAAAAAAAAAGACAAATGCTTTGTTCTCCTCCACATAAAAGCCGTTAATTAACAATTCAATTTGAAATTCAGAGAAAAAAAAAACAACATAATAGCCACAATGACAACGACATCCGAGTTGACAAACGTTTTTTTTTTCATTCTCTTTGATTAGCAACTAGTCGATTTTATTTGTCTGTAGAATTGCGGGTTTTCTTTTTTTTATTTCATTATTTTGAAATTCAAAACAAATGTCTATCTTCAGCAATGACAATTTTATAGAGACACGATACAATGAATTCACCATTCACGTGATTCATTAACAAATTTACTCTCATTTAGTTACACACAGTAAATTTTATAAAAAAACAATCTTGTTTCGATTTTTCTTTATATGATTTTCTGCATCTCAATGAAAAAAAGGGCGCTAAGGTATGTTTTGAATGAATTGTACAATTTACCGACCCATTCACCACCAGCCTTTTTCTATGTTTATTCTTATTTTTGGTTTTTTTGTTTTACTTTCTTATTCTGTATTTGTCACATATCTCAGTATATTATTGCGTCTTCTTCCACCATGTTGTGTTGTTTGGATGCCTTTTTTGAAATGGCATGCACCAAATTGTACACCGGCAAATTAATTCGCATAGCATTAACACTTATGCTGTAGTAGAAGTATCTTTTGTAGAATATTGTCAATTAAGTATTTTAGTGATTGGCATGTTAATTGGTATAGTCGGTATTAAATGTTGAACCAACAAAGAAAAACTGTCACTTAACGAAGCTGTCTAAATTCACACTTGGCGCGTGAAATTGAAAACCATTCCATCAACCGACCGACCGATCCTCCGAATGGATAATCCTCCGAATAAACGATATCGAGTTCAAATTGAATGAATCGGCTGAATTGAGTACAACCACATAGGCTGATGTTGTCACTGTTTGTCAGTGAAGTAGCTCAGAGGAAACGAAAAAATATACATGTGCATTACGAAACAAATTCCGTTCGTTCACCTTCCGATTTTCCCATAAAATCGTCTCGAATGTCAACAACGTCAATGTCTCTGTAGCGTCGTCGTTCAATGTGTTTTCCGTAAATTTTGTTCCATTTTTTTACTTTCGGTTTTCAGTGAAACGCTTATTTATTCTCTTTCACACAAACACACCCACATTGTTTTTTTCCCCACATAATTTCACTCACATACATACATACACCAAAACCAATTCATTCTAATTTCCATATGTTATGTGCAAAAAAACCACACATTCCCCTTCGGCTGTCTTTTCAATCACATGCAATTTCAGTGTGTATTTTTTCTATTACAATCCATATGAATGAAGTCTTATGACCGCTTGCAATTGGGCATTTTTAATTATTACAGGGATATCTTAAGAGTTTGGGTATGGCACGAACAGCTGAAGTGAAACGAGACGCTCGTATTGGTGAGGCTGAAGCTCGATGCGATGCACAAATCAAGGAAGCCATTGCTGAGGAACAGCGTATGGCCGCTCGTTTCTTAAACGACACCGAAATCGCAAAAGCACAACGAGATTTCGAATTGAAGAAAGCCGCTTATGATGTTGAGGTCCAAACGAAAAAAGCCGAAGCCGAGATGGCATACGAATTGCAAGCGGCTAAAACTAAGCAACGCATCAAGGAGGAACAAATGCAAATTAAAGTGGTTGAACGCACCCAAGAGATTGCCGTTCAAGACCAAGAAATGGTTCGACGTGAACGCGAACTTGAAGCAACTGTACACCGTCCAGCTGCTGCCGAAAAGTATCGCTTGGAGAAAATCGCCGAGGCCAATCGTAATCGTGTCATCTTGGAGGCTGAAGCCGAAGCTGAATCGGTAGATACATGAACAAAAACAAGAAGAAACAGAATGTTGTGTTCATCATTCAATGTCTTTTATTGCAGATTCGAATTCGCGGAGAGGCCGAAGCATTCGCTATTTCAGCCAAGGCTAAAGCCGAGGCCGAACAAATGGCCAAGAAAGCCGAAGCATGGAGAGAATATCGTGAAGCTGCTATGGTTGACATGCTTCTGGATACTTTACCAAAGGTTCACGCAAAATTCATACATATTTGGATAAAAGTCCATTTTAAAACGAGTTCTTGACTTATCAATTGATTTTTCTTAACGATTTACAGGTCGCGGCCGAAGTTGCTGCTCCATTGTCACAGGCCAAGAAAATTACAATGGTATCGAGTGGTACCGGTGAAGTTGGTGCCGCCAAATTGACCGGCGAAGTACTCCAAATCGTCAATAAAGTTCCCGAATTGGTTAAATCGATTACAGGCGTCGATATCTCTCGGGTAGGTGCCAATTCGAAATACATTTAAGCAAATCGATACTAGTTATTTACATTAACACGCATCATCTAAACCAAAGAAAGAAAAAATCGAATCAATCGTATTAGTTAATACTGCAGATGCACAGATTAAAACTTGTCAAAAAAGGGGAAACGATTTTCTTCTTTTTTGTTGCCAATTATATGTTTGATATTTTAAATTTGGAACAAAAAAAATATAAAACAAATTTCAAACTAATTCCTTTTTTCAAGGGCTACACTCATACTTACCTTTCATATAACAACTTCAAAACTGTATAAAATCGCACGTAATTTAGACGTTTAAAATTGCTTCACTCACACAAACACACATTCATCAAGTAATAATGTAAAACGAAATAATTTTCTTTTTATTTCAGTCGGTGCATGCTGGATAAAATCTATATTAAAATGAAACGAAACTGTAAAATTCAATGAGTCAATGACAAATCATAAAGATAAAACAGAGAGGAAAAACAACAAAACATGAATGCCGACAAAAATATATCATCACCACCAACACTGAATAGAATAAAAAAAAAGAAGCATAAACCAAAGTCTTAAATAGAGCCCGAAAATAAAGTACGATTGTCGATTTTGTTGTTCCAAATTGTGAGTAAAAACAAAAATCTGTGCAGAATACCTTTTTCTAAAATCAAAGTGTGACATTTATGACGAATTTCCCTCTTTGAATGATGTGTATTCAAGATACCTAGATATGTTTTTTGCGTCTTTCTTCAAAACAAAAGAGTTTGAGATGCAATTTCTCGACGAATTTTCGTTCTTTTTTTTGTAATAAAGGCTTATGTCAACACCAAATACTGTTAGAGAAACTGGTGGTTCAGGCATGACCTTATCACTTGTGCATTATTCTAATCGCATAGCTCCCATTTTTGTGTGTGTACTTTCGATGATAAAGGCGATTGAACTTTTTTCTATTTCAAAATTAGTTATTTGTTTTATTAAAAAAAAATTCAAACAAAAATAGATACAAAATTGTTTAGCAAGTAAAATTTAATAGAAAAAAAATGAAAACCAAAAATTAAAATCAAATCCATCTCTAATAAAAGCAAATAGTAAAAATTTACAATAAATAAAAACAGAAAAGTCGTAAAATATTTGTCCAATGTAATAGTAACGTAATAAATCAGCATATATACTGCTGAACAGCCATTTAAGTACACAATCTCACACAAATTTAATGAATATATAATATATTTTTATATGAAAACAAATTCATTTCGATTTTGGTAGTTCTGAGTCAAATTCTTGTTGATTTTACGTGTTACATACAGCTTGTATTGCATACTTGATAAGTATTCCTTATACCTACTCTCTATGTATACAGACCGAAGACGAAACAAAACTTGAAAAAAAGAAAGTAAATTCATCCAGTCATTTTAAAATTGTTTCATCACAATTTATTATTACCATTTCACTATTGCATTTTTGTCGTTCTTATTTTCGTTCTTTCTTTCCTTTTTCTCTCAATTCAAGCCACTTGTAGAATTGAAATTTTGAGAAAATTTTATCGTCTAGCTATCATTTTACAATATATATACATATATAAACACAATCACTTATGGTAGATAAAAAAAAACGAACAAAAACTAAATATTTGTGTTGACTTTGCAACACACCCCCCCATAAATGCATTACCATCATCATATGGGAGATACTATGTTTAATTGTAAAAGAGAAACAAATCAAAATTTATATCACCAGTGTGTGTATGTAAAAGCTTTTGTTGTGTTTGAACATTCCAATCATTGAAAAAAAAATCAGCCCAGCCACCAAAAAAACAAACACATCACCACCAATCCACTAGACTAAAAAACAAAACCATTATTATGATAACACTACGAAATGATATTGTAGCCATTGATATTTGATTCAATACCGATTTTCCATAGTGTACATGTTCTCTTTGTAGTGCATTGAAAATAAAATAGAAAATGAATTCTGCCAAAAAAAAATAGTCGCAGCACTGTGTTTTCTTGTTTTTTTTCAACATTTTGTTCCTGTATCCAGCATTTTTGTAAGGTAAGACAAAATGAATGATGTAACACACATGTAGGACATGATTTTGAATTAACCTTATCACACTTCATAGAATTAGACTGATCTAATGAACTTTTTAAATAAATCACGTTTTCAGCAATTGTTCAAACGTAGAACATTCGAATGCTGTTGTCTTTGAATAATCTATCAATGATAATTTGAATTATGTGACACAATGGCCAAACATTGAAATACCCATTTGGCACATTTCTGCAATTATTCGCTCTACTACTCGCTGATTGTTTACAAAAAATCATTTCAATATGACCTAACCAGTTTGGCGTGACTCGGATAAAACAAATCGACTAATATCTTGAACATTTTCTTGGTCACGTAGTCAAGCAGCTTGACCCAAGCTCTTTGAGAAAGAGTGCAAAGTCTTAACGTTGCATTTTATTTCAAATAAAAAAAAAACAATTATTCAAAAATCAAAATTCCAAAATGCCAAAAAAGCTTAGATCATTCAAATTAGGATTTTTTTTCAATTCTTTTCATACCATTTCGACAGAAAATATTGCTGTTACAGCATTTTTCTGTTATTTCCAACTGAGAGCTAAAATACTATGGATTCGTTCAATATTTTATGACAATTACGTTTTTCTCAGGAAACTCAACAGCTAGCACAATAATTATCATGAATTGTGAATAATAATAACCAAATTCACTCATTTGCCTGTTCAAACAGAAATTTTTTTATTTTGCACAATTGCGTTCATCATAATAGGTGATTTAACCAAATTGATATGTAAATAAATGAAGTAGAATAAGAATCGCATTTAAAAACGGTGCCGCTTTACTAAGCTAGTGAATTACATTACCTTGCAAAACTTTTGAAACCCTAGAAAGTGTTCATACGAAAACATTATTGTAATCTTCTCTAGAATTTGTGAATATTTTTTTTTGGTAAAACTTGGCTGGTTTCATGATCATGGACTGCTCAAACATTGTACAATGTAAAAAATTTCAATGATGTACATCTTTCCGAAAAACTATTTGATTTACTGAAAAACTCGACTTTATATGAAAACTGTCAGGTCTGTCTGCACTTTTGCAGGTAGTGTACTTTCATCGTAAACTTTTTCAATAATAACTGTTGATATGGAAATGGATGAATTGCATATTATCATAGAAATGATCAAAACGAAGTGTTTCTCTGTAATTAAGATATTTTTCTAAATCTGTTTGTGCACTATTTTCACAAAACTTTCGTAAATGATTGCAAAACTCCTCAAAACCTATAGAAAATTTGGCGATGTTCAAATTCAATATTCATTTTTCTAATTTAAACAATAAAATCAATGCCCCAGTTTGGTCCAAAACTAATATAAATGTAATTAGAAGGAAACAACAATTCGGCACGTTGATAAAAATAGCAAATGAATGTTTGTGGGGATTGGGAAATTTTAACGCCCGTGGTCAAATTGTATTTTAATTTAGAAATAACTTTTATTTGTGAACAACAACATCTCAGTGGGTTTTTCCTGTTTTGATCGCTCAAGATTTCAGAAAAAAAAGCAATTACGTTTTTTTTTCATTACAATTACCGATACTTTGCAAAATGACCACCGCACTGTTATCGGTCGGTGTCAGCATTTTAATTTTGGTGTTTTGTAAAAACGGTGTTTCAAAACAAGTTTAAAATAATAAGTAAAAATATTCTCGTCTGTTCGACGAGTAAATGAGACTCGCTTGACAATACGTACGAAAAGCCAAATCAATAAGTTGAAAACACTCAGCGTATCATTAGAAGCGGTGAAAGTCTGTTTTATAAAATTGGTTGAACTGAACAGAATATAGCATTTCGAGTCGAACGATATGTGTCTATGATTGTCCACATATAAAAAACCTGGAAGTCAATGCATTTTATAACCAATCGTTATGTACCTTATTGTTTTCTTAATGGCCCATACAATAAAGTGTTTCTCTTTTTGCGCACTTTGTTAAAGTGAATGGTGCTGCAAATAATGACGTCGTAGAATTTTATTTACCACTAGCAGCAGCTTTTTTTATGGTTGACTTGCAATAATCGATACAAATATTTGGACAAAATATCCCTATTAAATAACAAATGTGTGTTGTATTTACAAGTAAACCGTCCCAACTGTCACACGTCGATTTTAAAGTTGAATATACAGATCGATGGAGAATGAAAAAAAAATAATTTTGACAAAAGGGCAGCGGCCCCTTTTGGGTCATAGTGGGGATATGGCCCCTTCTTTACAATGCTTCGTCTGATGGTTTTTACATAAAAATGCAATTTTCTCATACTAGAAATGGTTTGAGGACAAAAATATATCGATATGAAATATTCAAGATACTCCAGAGAATCAAATGACACCTTGGGTGGAGTTGCCCTCCACCCCTGAAATGAAATGGAGGGTCAAAAAGTGAAAAAATAGCGAAAAATGACCAATGCATCCCCAAAATAGGGTCAAACTCCCCTTAACCCTCCAAACAAATTATATTTTTGGATTCCTCGTGAAAAATTAACCCTAGGTTCAGAACATTTTCCATCAAAAAAATCATCCCTTATGTCCTTATTTAAGGCCGGAATGTTAAAAAAAATCGCACCCCAAACCTTCTAATGTATTCCGGCCTTGGTTTAGAGCATAAGGGATGATTTTTTTTGGTGGGAAATGTTCTAAACACACGTGTGCAAGGGGGGTATTCCGGTTTTACCCCCCTCTAGGATTCCAAAATGTGGGGGGTCCCAGCGATTTGGAAAATTTGACACTAGATAGAATCGATTTCCAAAAGTGAGGACCTTTTTTTTAGGTCTTCATTTTTTTCACACCCATTTATAAATTTGCAGTCCCCCCCCTGGCAAAATCATTTTACCCCCCCCCCCCCAGAATTTTTGACCTTGCACACGTCTGGTTCTAAACCCAAAAGTAATTTTTCACGAGGAATCCAAAAATGTAATTTGTTCGGGGGTGAAGGGTTTTTTTTGACCCGATATACAGAAAAAATTAGTTTTTTTCAAAATCATTATATGGGGACTCCCAAAAGAAGGGCACGGAGGGGGTGACCCATGGGTAAAATAGATAGCCCAAAAAAAATTAGCTATAGTTGGTCATACATTTTTATGCAAAATTTCCTCTCCAAGAGGTAGAAAATTGACTCTGTAATAATTGACCCCAGATGTGGGACGATTTCTGCCAGTTCAATTTCTGGAAGACTGGGTGCGGAGGGCCGTTTGAAAAATACATATTTCCACTAATTTGGGTATGGAGAATCCATATTTTTGGGTTTCAGGTCAAAAAAGTGTAACCCCTGGGCAGAAGACCTCCCCAACCCCCCAGGGGGTGGAAAATGGAAGGGCGGCTGCCCCAAAAAATTCTCCTCATCATTCTGAACAACTTTGACATACATCATTTTTTGATCAGACGAAGTTTAGGAAAGGGGTTGGGTCTATCCCCACTATGCCCCAAAAGGGGCCGCTGCCCTTTTGTCAAAATTATTTTTTTTCCGTCCCCAATCGATCTGTATATTCAATTCTAAAATCCATTTGTGACAGTTGGGACGGTTTACTTGTTAGTAAACATTTGTTGATAATGTCGTTTCCTGGTCTCTAAATTCCTTTGAACAAAATTTCACATGACGGTTAGAACCCAGAATAATCGCCCATTAAAACTATAAAATGTAATTATGTTTTTTTTTTCTTGGCAGCAAAATGACCAAATTCGATAATAATAATAATCATGATCGAGTTTTATCCAATTCATACTTACTGTGTGAAAATCAGTCACATGAAAGGCCACCGAACATGATGCTAAATCATGGCGATTATACAATAAAAACAATGATAATTTTATTCACATTTCCTTTAATTTATTCATTTGTTTGTCTTGCTATGTGGTTTTTTGTTTGTTTATAAATTGAAAAATTGTTCTATAGCTGTTATGAGTTAAATTGTTCCTAACTGGATCATAATATCAACGGTTTTTTGTTACATGGAACTCGAATAGAAAAATCTGCAACGAGTTAAATACGGATTTTAAAACAGAAAAAAACAATTACAGCAAATGAAAGGTTATTCAACGTCATTGTTCGGTTTTTATAGGTGTTGTCCTCTTTCTCTCTTTTTCACTTAAGAATCTGTACAAATTGTTATCATCCTAATAATGAGCATAAAAAAATGTACACATATCACGAAAATTCCTTAAAAAAACGTACGACCCCGTCCGTCCGTCTCTCATATATATATATATATATATATATCAGCTGTTTGATCATCCATCATATTCTAATCACTTAATCAAATATTATGTACACAACAACAAACAGCTTGTCAATCAGCGATGGTGGTGGTGGTCACCCGAGAGATATAGTAATTTACATATAAATAATTGAAATAATTAGTACAACTAGAATTCTATGTGTCTTGTAGTGCTGGTGCTTGAGGCAATCGCAATAGGAATATAGGTTTGACTCTAGATTTTTCCCAAAAAATCGTGTGTATAGACCTTTTTTCGGTAGCCACGTTGCAGAAACAATTTCACGGCAATCACAATGATGAGCATACAAAATGCGTACAATAGAATGCCCATGCGAACGTCCATTTCAGAGAATACACTCGAATAACCGCTACTCGTTGAGCTGTGCAATTTCGAGCTGTATACACTTGTTAACATTTCCGGTAGAACACTGTCGTCGTCCACACCATAACGGCTTAGATTGACTAGCGAATAAACGCGGCGGAGATAGTAAAGAACTTCACTGGATTCCCAGTGTGGTGTGTAAGTCGATGGTGTAGCTCCCTGAATTGGTATCACTTGTTGATAACACTGTGCACACCCTACACGCGATGGATATTGGATTTTCGGGAATGCTGGGTCTTCCGTGTGATCACCGGCCAGTCGATGATTTACTTCATTGTGCGCTGTCCATAGCCACAGAACGGCTTCTTCTTTTGACGAAACTCGCCAAATGCCATTGCGTTCGGCCATCTCCTGGAAGTGTTTGCTGCAGTGTGTGCACCCAAAGTAGTGCTTAACAAAACCGTGAATTGCCTGCAACACCTCTAATGCATCATGGGATCGATCCGAATTCGTCGCTTGCACCGTCAAATAATGGAACAGTTGCCACAATCCACACGAAAAACCCCGACGTCCAGCTACCGATGGCCTACATCCAATCCATTTCGATGATGAAAACAATGGATGATGCTTCTTTTCAAGCTCTTTCATTTTATCGCTCAACATTTTACCATTAAATCGAACTGTCTCGCTGTTAACGTACACATTCAATTCGGTAAGGAAGCGCTGCCCATTGTCACCCAACGGCGAATATCTGCAATGAAAATTGACAACAACAACAAAAAACCCATTAAAATTACACAATTAAACTATTAATTAGAACTCGGCGAAAAAGCGAACAAAATATTAAGATTTGGGAGATACGTCAGTCAACAATTAAGAAGATAAACACATCTGAACAAACACATTCATGTGATCTAGTAACCTAGCACAGAGAGAGAAAAATACACTCAAATGACATTGTATCTTACTTTTGAAGAACCGATAAAAAGCGTTTCAGCGCCGTAATTTGTTCGTCATTCATGTTGTTGTACTTCACCAATTCGTGGAAAATTGAAAACCGTATGGCGGACTCTAAGTCCGATTGGTAAACGGTGCCCTCGTGCGCTTTCACATACTCAATAATGGCCAAGTCTTTTTCATTAACTTCACTGGTTGGTGCACTTCCAGCCCGTGGTGAAAGGCTTGGTATGTTTTGACCAACTTTGATATGCACTCCTTTGGATTTCAAATACTCTTCGACGGTCGATCTCACTGTTGCACGATCCAATTCAGGTAAATGCTTCACCAATTGTATGTCGTTCGAACTTTTCGAGCCAACGTAAACAGCCGACGGCACATTCAAGCCGAATTTGAATGCGTCTGATGGAGCAATTTGACGGATTTGTACACCGTTTGTGTGTTTCAAATCTAGCGCAACTTTCTGTGCCACAATCGAATCATTTTTCGGATGCCACACTATGAAAACATACTCCACATCGGTTGGCAGACTATCAAAGAACGTTGCTGGCGATGGTGAATCAATTGGTTTCAAATTTGGCCACGAACTTGGTGCGTTCGTTATGTTTGCCAACAATTCGATCAAATGTGGTTCGCCCACAGTCATGGGTGCGTGTTGAACTTCAATGCCCAAATTATTGGTTTCGTTTCGATAGAATGGTGGAAAAAACTTGAGCGTTGGATATCGCATGATTTCCATATCACGGCAAACATCATTGTTGGCATCATCTGCACAATCGATGGCCGATATTCTCACTACGTCTCTCCAACCATACACATCTTCAGCCCACGCTTTGTACATCGGTGCGAAATTGCGACAAAATCCACAAAATGAATTGTAGAACTCGACATTGCTAGCATATGGTTGCTCGAAAACCGACTGATAAAAATTGTCATGAGTCAATACGAAAACTTTGTCATTACTATCGTATAAACTCTGCGCTTGTTCACCTTCCTGTCGAATCACTGAATTTTGTACAACACCAATTGAAACAAATATGATCATCAAGCGAACGGTCGACATTTTTACTCGTATATACAACCCATTAATCATAATTTAATTATCAAAACCGTTACTTTTGTTCTCGGGTATTTCGTACATTAATTAGCTAGTGCAGAAAATCCGATTGTCGAATCAGCATTTAATCTCTCGTTTTTTGTGTTACTGTCTGTATTTTCCGTACGAAACACTCTATATATATTTCATTGACTTGAAAACAAGTTCTTTTTTTCGCTCTCTCTCTTTCTCTCTCTATTTGTCGTTGTGTGAATTCAGAACTGTACCGAAAACTTGAAAGTACCGCACTAATTTATTCAAAGTCTTTTTTTTTCGTTCAGCAAAAGAGAATCAGGAAAACCTGAATGCTCGTGTATTTCATACAGATTTTGTCAAACCGTTTCAGTTTACGGTATCGCAACAACTGATTTAGGAAAACATATCGTCGGCTGCTTGCCTCAAGTCATGCAAATACTTCAAACTTCATTCACACTTTCAAACCATTCGATTCTAATTGATTAACTACTTTAAAATAACACATATTTTCCGCATTTGTCCGAGTTTCTTTTGCACTGCTTTCTCTTTCTTTCTCACACACACAGGAAATTAAGGAGAAAAAATTGCTCGTGCACACAATCACCACCGAAAAAATTTATAGAAATTTATGCGAGCTCATGAAAATAATCGGTGCAAATAATCAAAATACAACAAAACCAATGACAATATTCGTGTATTTTTTCATTTGTGTATGGTCATTGGGAATGTGACTGTGACTGTGTAAACATACAACGAGCAAACGACTGTCGAATGCTCACAACCAGTTTGACAGTTGCTCATTCTATTTCTTTCTATTTCCAATTACTTCGACGGACGTTGACAACTGGAATAACTACTACATAAAATCTCGACCGTGTGCACAGCGCTTAATCGTTAAACATGATGGAAAAGACCATTACACAATTTCCAATGGAATGATTTGAATCGTTGGAATGTCGATTTGCTTTTTCTTGACCATTTCGTTTAAATGTTCATGTTCAAAAAATAGATTTCTTTGCATGTATTTAAATTCATGAAATTATTTAAAAATTTATGTTTTTTTTGTGAGATTTTCCTTTGAATTTTTCTTTCAATTGTTTTTTCAATTCAATTGTCAGATAAATGTCAAGAATGATTTCTTATGATATTTGCTCATTTATTCTTATATTATTGAATTTAAATGTTCAAACCTGTTAAAATCCGCAAAATATATCGATGCATAAAAATTCTTCTACACACAGAGTGATGTATGTGACAAAAACGGTAATCAATAATTTTTTTTGAAAAATACGATAATTATTTCATAATAAATTTGATGTTACAATACGATGTATTCTTTTGTTACTTTGTGAGCGGTTGGCAATGATGACAATCCACCATGTATGGGATTTAACTGCACCTCGTTTCTATTGTTTTCAATCATCTGCAAACACGCTTCATTTTCAATTGTAAATTTTATCTTCTAATCACACGATTGTTCAACATAATTTCTCATCATAACTGCGACGGATTACATTTGGTAACGGTTTTTAAACGAAAAGGCATCGCGCATTTGATAGTGCCGCATTGTTCTAGTTTTATTGAACTTTAATTCACCTATTCAGGTGTTTGTAAGGGATATAAAGGAGTTTTTAAATTTTGATTGACATTTTCCAATAATATACTTTGTTCCTAATCAAATGGTGGCAGCGTTTGGTTCTGTCCCAGAAAAAATATCTAGATAAAAACAAGATAATCTCAAAAATGTTCAAATCTATCTAGATATCTTTTTTCAATTTATCTTTTTTTTATCTTTTTTCCGAAAAAGATAGATATCTTTGAGCTATCTTAAGATAGTCTTTTTAGAAATATATCATTCTTTTTTCATATGTTAATTTGATGAATTTTTTTCAATTTTTGTTGTTCTGTGAAAAATGCACGAAAATTGGTCAAAAAACTTTAATTTTTGAAAAATATCCCAATCAACAAAAAATTTCAGTTGGAAGATTTACGTGATTTACCCTGATTTTGAAGTGTATTTTTTTCTATAAATGGGATGTGTATATTTTTTCAACAAGTAGGACAAATCAGTAGGACAAATCTGTAGTGTGAATCATCAATAAAATATCGCCAAAAAAGACAAAAAATGGCCAATTTCGAGCTAAAAATTCATCAAAATCATGGAATTTGGCACTTCTGTAGTAAACAGATATATGCGATAATTCTTATGAAATCACTTTTTTCAACCTTTATATACGATGATATTTCCATTGAATTGGCTTTTTTCAGAAGAATATTCTAAAAATACCTAATATTTCAGCTCAGTATGTTGTAAAATCAACAGTTTACTGACCCATTTAGGTCATAATTGGCCGTTTTGGCTATATTTTATTCATGTTGAAGGGTTTTTTGTCTTACAAAAAAAGATTATTTTGAGTTGCGATGTTCGACAAAGTTGTTTCTTTGGCCAAGATCTATCATTTTTTCAAGTCGGGAAATCCCAATTTTCCGCCATTCCCGGAAAAGTTGTGGAAAATTGTCACATATATGTTGTTGTAATTTGGACTTGATTCACAAAACACAATTTTTCACAAAAAGGAGAAGCGGATATTTTTGAACACTATATTCATCAAAATTATTCTACAAAGATAGAGCTAAAATATTGCTGAAGATATTAAAGTGATATCTCTCACTCAGTTCGAGTTATAGGCCATGAAACCTCTGGGTTCCTAGTGACCCGCTAACAACACGAGTGTAAGTTTTTTCTAACAACGTTTAAGTGTTGAAGTCCTTGAGTCGAGGAAAATTGAATTTTGAAAACTCTTTATTTTTAAGTAAAATAATTCAACAAAAATTGAAAGGGATAAGTAAGCCTGTTCTTATTCATATCAAATTCTTTCAAAAATCCACTTTTCAGAAGTAATAATCACAATTAGTGAATCAATAATTAAAATAATTCTAATGAAAATAATGGAAAAAAAATGATAATCTCGAAGGTGTGTACTCTACTGCACAGTATTTGCTCTTGAAGCATTTTAAATATCTATTTCTGTCTAAGAAAAAATTTGGAAATAATTCAAATTGTGCATTTTATATTTTCCGTCGTAACAGTTCGACGGTTATTCAACTCTGTTCTCGCCTTTCCATTCTCGTTTGTTTCCTTTAAACTGACAACTGGAATATCACTACAGATACTGAACCAATAAAGTTTTGCTTAGCTACACTGTGGACTCATCATTATATTGGCGCAAAAATTTGAAATGGCTCGTCTTTCTTCCTGTGGTGTTTTATTTCAATTTCGCAAAGAAATCTGTCGTCAAAATATTAAATTATTGCTTTCAGAATATTTTGTTCGATAGAATGAATTGAAGCCATTTTTACTCATGTGCTATGACCATTACAATAAGATTAGAAATATGAACATCATCGAATGGCTTCGACATGAAATAAGTACGTTAGCAACTAATTGATTGTTCTTCCGACTATGAACAGTTTCAGCCGGTGCAGCTTCAATGCGGTGATCCAATCATTTATTTTTTCAAATCAAGCTCCAAATATATTCATGAAACTTTTTGGTGCTCCGAAGTACCCCCTCTTGGTGAAATCAATTGATCTCAAAATATTTATTATGCAAAATTGTGCAGATCCTAATTTTGATTTCAAATCTTTTAAGAATCATAAGAAAATAGTAAATCTCTCGACTAACAAATCATTGTCACTATTAAGCTATAAATTATAATGGGAAACATTGGAAAAAAAAACTGGATCATTCGATGTGATGTGCAAAAAGGATAGTAAATTTTCAGAGGTCAATCCCAAACGTTTCAAGTCTTTGCGGTCTGTATTGTTCGGAACGAAAAAAAAGTCTAAGGCGTACAATAAATTGAATGCGAGCACCAGCCGAAAAGCGGAGAGTCTCTTCATGTAGTTTCGTGACGATGTGTACATTGACTGACTCTTTTTCTCTCTCTCACACACACACACACACTGTCTCCCTCGCTCGCTCGTTCTTTTTCTCTTCTTTCTCTTTCACTCTCTCTCTCTCATCTCACAGCTCTCTTTCACATGTTTTTTCTATACATAAAATATCGACACTAGACTCTGTTATATGTGTGGTACATTTTAGCGTTTTGTGATCTCTTCTTTCGAAATGCACATTGGTTTTTAAGCTTGTTGTGTTGCTTTGCGCTGTGTTGTGTGGATCGGATCGGCATACACATAAACGTGTGTACATAATATAGGTTTTTTTTCTTCTCTTCTGTTGTGTTTTTTTTCGGTGATTATGCTGTGTATATCTGCATATAGAGTTTGCTTCGTCACCTTTTCTCTCGCTCTCGCGGTCCGGTTAAGTTTTCACCCATTTCATTCGTTTGTGCGTTCATCCGTTTGCGTTCACAACAATTCATCTCATTCATTATTTTCCTTGCCCTGGTGTGTTTATGATCATTTATTTTGGTGTTTTCTCAGTTTAAATGCGGCTGGCTAGCGAAACGGTTTGAAACAAAATTTCTTGCGTGCGATTTGTCTTGATTCCGCTTCGAATTTATTTTTTTCTTTAAATTTCTTGTGTTGTGTGTGTTCCTGATAAAACAGTTTTTTTTTCGCTGTTATTTATTTGTTTATATTTGTTCGATTCAATTCGACAGTCGATTTTGTGTATAAATGTTGTTTGGTTTTGAATTTTACTCTTCTTGTAAATGGATTTTAAGTAATTTGAAAATTTCCACGAAGAGGAATGAGTGAAATTGTTCGTGTTAATCGCGGCTATCCGTGCATTCGTCAAAATAAAAAATGAACCAATTTAAATGACAATCCGTTAAAGTGATCCGATTTTGCAGCCACAAGAATTGTTTTTTTTTTCGCAATCAATCATATGGGATTTTATGGTTTTTTTTCTTCTTCTTCTATCGTTTATCAAACATTTGCCAGTGAAAAATCTCAACGTAACGTGCATTTGATATTGAATTGTCTACGAAACAAAAAGTGTAATTAAATTTCTTGTTCTTTTTTTCCCCTCTCCCTTGATTTCATGGAATAATAAAAGAAACGAGTACAACGTTTATGTTCAACGGCAGGAACTGTTCGTATTTCTTCTAATTCTTTGAGAAATTGACACTCATCAACATTTTAATGAGTAACAACTTTGTTGTCACTTGAATTGAGTGTGTGCATGAATTGACTGGCATAGTGCTGTTTCTACGGGCATACAGATTGTTTGCGTGTGATCGCGGCTCAGGCCGTTCAAAATTACAGCGTTTTTAATATAAATAATTTCTTATGTCCCGGATTGCTGTTTACATTCATCAATTGTTGTCTCCAAGTATATAAGTTGTCTCAGCTCAGTGACAACAAAGTTTTGGTTTTGCAAAAAAAGCATCTTCAATTTATTATGTCCTTTCAATTGTTGTTGTGGTTTGAAAAACTGAGTTGCATTGATCGATTAAGATAAATGTACACGAAGACCAAATTAAGATGTGTGCTCATTTTGAGAATTTCGCTGAAACGTGATTCGAAAGAGTGTGTGTGTGTGTGTTTTGAATTAAAAAAAGATAACGAAAGATACTTCGGATGTGGCAATGAGAAAGTCCTGAGGAAATGTACAAGCAAAAGTCCAAACAAAGATTGCCCCACATATGCATAATTCCAATGAAATAACCAAGAAGAAAATCTTGTGATAACATCAAAATTCAATTAATAATTTTCATTTCCAGTTCCTTTCCCCAATGTGTTCGTTACTTTTTCTTCAATTTCGATAGCAGCATGAGAGACACAGCACTCCTGATCGCATAGCCACTTGTGGTTCGATGTGCCGTTTACAAGCTGGTCGCATTATTCATACTCGAATAATGTGGTGGACCGACACGAAAAAAACACACACGCACTCAATTGTTTCACTTTGATATTCGACTATTATTTGTTGTAATAAAGAGTATTGAATATGAGTCAAACGGCATCATGCATCTATTTCATGTGTGATATTGCGAAAAGTAGACAAAGAAAAACTGCCACTGTTTCTTGGTTGCGAGTGAGTTAATTCATGAATTAGAGCGGTGATTGATTTGACTTGAGAATTAGGCGGAGTCTCTATATGTTGATTGACATTCACTCGGTATGGTTTCTAATTAATTATTAAGCGCAGAGAAAATTTTCCGATGCTCCACATTGCACACAGAGCGGCTGGCATTCGAAGACTGTGAAACCCGATGGATGGAGAGATAGAGGGAGTCAAGAAAAAAGCATCCGAACTTGATTATTTATCACACACATTTCAAATACGCTTTTGTTTATGTAAGGTCCAGACGCGTTATGCGTTATACACACATTTCACGCAATTTCTTCGATAAATCTACGCACTGTTCTCATGCATAAAGATTCGTGTAAAACGAAACACATTGATGCACACGGTTGTTGTTGTTGTTGTTGCTGTCTTTTTTGGTTGCTTTTGACCATACGGCGTATATCTGTCGTCTTTACAAATGCATCGCGTAATTTAGCATATTATGAAGAATGAAGAAAAATTTCGAATGGAAATGCGCGAATGAATGATCAAATGGATCACTATTCATATTTTAAATAGGTGTTTTCACATTGGCCAGAGGTCAATGATTAGGATATAAATGTGCGAAACCAACTGAACGTAACGCTATTTTCAGAAGCAAAAATGAACAACGGCAAAAATAATAATAAATGCAGAATAAGCAAAATGGAAAATTTGTTCGCCTTTTGAATAACATTGATCTTAGATCGATTTCATTTGTGCATTGAAAATATACATGCCGAGTGACAGCGAAAGAACATAGAGGCAACAAGAATATCAAAAACCGAAATTGTCTTTTGTGTTTGGCATCATATTATATGGCATTGCATTGCATTTTGTAAACAAAGCCCATTTAAATCAACCACAGTATCTCCCATTCACGTTCGTTTGCCACATTGCCACTTTCTTCGGTCTCTGTCCGACCACTGACAGACGAAACCAACAGCAAATACGTACATTTGCTGTATAAACGACCATATTGACATGCAAACATCAGTATTAAAATCAATTTTTCCAATCGGTCTCAATGCAAAGACAAATTGACATGCGTGCACAAAATAGATTACTACATTATTATGTGTGTTGTTGTTGTTTTTTTTTTCATTCCTCTCTTCAAAATGTGCTGTTGTATTCTATATTATTATTATTTTTCTTTTATAAAATGCATTATTCGCTGTCTCATGCTTGCGGTACAGAATCATACTGAAATACTGTTGTTGTTGTTGTTGTTGTCGCTGTGTGTTATCAAGAGAGACGTGTCGTGAACATGAGTGCAATGCAGATTGCTCTCGGTGTGCGTTGTCGATTCGATGCACTGTTGCTTAGGCCTCTCTCATGTCGACATAATGTCTGAAGCGAACGAAACGGAACGGTAAGTAGATGAACGACAGATACTGAGGCAACCACGAGAATGCACCGTGTGGTTAGGCGAATGGATGTGTGCGTGTGTGTATGTATGTATACGTATATGTGTACGAGAATGCAAAATTGACTTCTGAATATCGTCGTCAATGTGCATTTTTTTCGGGTCTATCGATGAAAAGGCGACAATCAATTGTGCATTTAACATCTGAGAAATTGTAGTTTTATTGAAATGCAGGCCACATTTGGGCTACCGATCGAATTTGCTATTAGCAAAAACAGTGAAAAATCCTCAAGATGCATGTATTATTGTTGCAGTTGTGAAAGGTACCAAACGATTTACGTGTTTTTGGCAAGCGTTCAAATATTTTCAGCATAAGACACAAACACTCACAGAGTCAAACACAATAACACTCTATCGCATCTAGGTGTTTTGGTGCGTCAACACTGTTGCATGCGCAAGTTTCGTTTCACATTTTCATGAAGACAAGATGTTGGCGACGGTATGTCTGCCTGTTTCAAAATCTCTGGGTCTGTGTTGATCTTTGCGCACGGTCCCTTAAGCATTACCAACACACAACATTTGCCATAAAGTAACGTGCGCACACGATGCACACGGTGTGTTCATATCGAGAACGAAGAAAAAAAAATAACAGAGAGACGAAGTGAAACGAAAGAGAAAGAAAATTTCACACACAAGATCAACAACGCACATGCATCTTTGTGCTCTCTGTATCTGCTGGCTGGACGATGATCGGCAACTTCATAGGACTACGTTTTTGTCTTCGATCTTGTTTTTCTCTCTCATTCACTCTTTTCCTCTCGCTCTATCCTCAATGCTGTTTGTATGTTCAAAAGGCCAAAAAACGAAATAGTGAAGAAAAAAATCAAGAAAAAAAAACACACGAAAGATTGGATACTTCTTTCTTCTTTGTCGTTTTCTTTCTTCGATTTTTATTTCATTTTCTCGGGATTTCTTCTGTTTAGTAGCTCGTTTTCTCTCTCTCTCTCTTTTTTTTTCTTTTCATTTGAGTTTCTCTTGCTCTCATCTCGTTCCTTTTCCAAACCCTTGTGTGTTATATTCGACCGCATTGGTGAAAACGGCCAGTGTACAAGTGTTTAATGGTTAATTTTTTTTTCTAACTATAAGCTATCTTCTTTTTATCTCTTTGACTTGTTTCTATCCCGTTCCTGTGCTCCTCGCTCATCATTTCGTGTTTTTGATGTGTTTAGTTATTATGTCGTTTTATGCATTTCGCTGTTTTCGTCGTCGCTCTCCTGTGTGTTTCGGTATGATCACACTGTGTGTACGAATGTGTATAATATGCATGTATGCGGCATACGTATGCGAAAATTAAATTCTGGTATATTATCATCGGACTTACATAAAAAAAGCAGAAAACTAAATGCGGTGGAAGAGAGAGAGAGAGAGAGAGAGAGAGAGAGAGAGTTAAAGAGAGAGAGAAGGAGCGAAGAGAAAAAAAAATAATACAAAAGAATGGAGCATCGTTATACTTTGGTTCCACACACTCTTTCATCGAAGACCTGATCTTCAAGCAGCCCATACAATCAAACATTTTCGTTTTGTTCTCACTGTTGCTGCGCGCTGTGGTTTGACATGGTGTATTTTCTCTGCCTCTGTCTCTCTCTCTCGCTCAAAATTTTCTTTGTTGGATCTGCTACTATAGAAGGATCTCTTCTTTCGGAATATATGTCATAAGCAATGTTCTTTTTTTTTGTTTGCGTTCACATTCTCTCACACCAAGTGGCAACAATATATTTTGCGTTTTCGGCAGCGGTGTTTTCAATGCCATTTAGTTTGCTTGGTTCCCACATCAAATACGCGAACGTTCAATTAGAAAGTTACGTTGCATTCGTCCTAACATCCTAATCTCTTGCAATTTTCAAATGGACATAACAAACCGAAGAGGAAAAAAACCACACACACACACACACACTCCACTTCGTTTGGTTCGCAGGGGAAACGAATGAATGTAATGCCGCCGCGAATCAAAATTAATCCGAATCCAGCAGAGATGAAACTCGGCAACAAAACAACTCAAGTAATAATAAGAATAACAATAACAACAATGAAAGTAGAAGAGAAAAAAAAGAGTATGGAATTGGAACCAGTTTACGATTGTGTTGCAGTTGTTCTCGAAATGAGCAAAAAAAAAATAAATTTATTTTTCTTATTCATGCCATATATTTTTTTGGCTTTAGCTTCGTTTGCTCCTTTTTGCATACGAGAAAAATTAATTTGACTTGCAAAATGGCCAAACCGTGATGTGTGGAGCGTGTGCATGTGTGTGTGTGTGTGTGTGTGTGTGTGTGACATTCGCTATACTTTCATTGCAAAGCCATGAGAAAAGAAAACAACACCCGATGCCGATGCGAATCTCTCAAATCTGAGAGTGTCAATCGCCAAAAATGAAAATAGCAACTCGAACTAGCGCGTCTTGCCCGTACATTGCCGTTACAATACACGTTTTTCAGCAACAAAATGAAATGCTGCCTATTTTGCTTGCATAGAAATTCCAAGTGTGATTTATATTCTTTTGTCGATTTTGCAGAAATTTTAAATCATGTTGTATTCAATGTGGCTGATCTCTTTGTTGTTACCTTACTCGATGAGCATATCCATTTCTTCGTCTGCGACCGCCACATCAACGGCTATCACAGCACAGTCATCAGGAGTGAGACCAGAACGAACGGTGAGTAGTATCAACGGGATAATTTATTGTAGCATATTAAATCGATTATTTAGAGAAATGCTTTCGTTTAATACACGAGTTCCTCTCCCCCCCACTCTCTCTCTCTCCTCCATCTGCCTCTCTTTCTGGAGGATGCGAGTTCACTCTCTGTGCAGCCATTGTCAATTGCATTATATTCAAATTACGCATATTAATAAAGCCTAGCCACGCATTTCCTTGCACCGTGCGACCGAAAGTAAAGCGCAATTGAGGAATGGCAGCAGAAGGCAAAATGAAATTAATTCGCTTGAATGATGATAGCAAAAGAAGATCCATTGCACTCTTTGTGTTTGCGCGCGGGCGCACTCATGTATTTTCAATTACAATTCGAGCTCATCAAGTAGGAGTTATGCGCAAACACTTCATTAAATTTGTTAAATCGCCGTCATTTCGCTTCTGTTTATGTTCATTTGCACTGGCGGAACGAATTTTACCATACGTCGGATCGGATTCGATACGTTGGCGGTGTCGGCAGCAGCAGCAGCAACAACGACGGCCATACCGTTTTTCGAACTTATATAGCGCATATACACCAAACATACAAAGTTTTTTTTTCTTTTTCGGTTCATATTGCTCACATTATTTCCATGTGATTTAAAGTTTGTTAATTTTTGCTTGCCAGGCGATCCACATTAAATTTATCGTTTCATAAGTCAATAGTATGCAACAGCAACAGCCGCAGCAGCAGCATTTTTTCAAATTCTTTTTGGCATTTGAAACGCGTGAATAGTCCACGAAACGATGTGCTTGCATCGTGTGGCCAATCAAACGATGATGCATTATTACTTATTCTTTAGTTAATTTTCTTAAAGGAACATCGATTTCTGTCCGTGCCCTTCACTTCTCTCTCCCTTACTCTCTTTCCTTTTGCCTTCCTTTTTTCGCTCTCTTCGTTCGCCCGTCTCGGTCTCCGTCTTTTCGTCTTCGTCCGCCTGGCAATTTCACTTTCATCATATTTGACCGAATATGGAAATGAATCATACCAAACCAAGTGTCGGAAGGCAAAAAGCCTAACAAACACTTAACTGATGATCATTAAATCTCCGGAGTTAACGATTATTGTTTCGTTCAACTGTTTACAGTCAGCTATTAGGTTCGTTCGATCGTGTACTTGCGCGCAATTTAGTTTAAAGTCCTGCTTAAAGGTCAGACGGCTGAAAATCCGTACGAATTCATTTCACAATTTATTGTTTCATTTTTTTTTTGTTTCGGTTCTCTCTGTCTCTCTTTCTCTGTGTTCAATTTTCTATCACAATTCTACTGCGCATTTGAATGTATGCAGCTATTGCAATCGACAGTCGACACTCATATATACCATCCAATACAAAATAATTTGGTCATTATGTCTAATTGCTTCTTAGTGTGGAAATTTTGCTGGCAAGTTTGTGCTCAAAAAGCGCGTGTGCTGTGTATGCGGCAGGCACGCGTGCGCTGCCCCGGTCATACACCGGCATGTAGTCGATTCGAATTTTATTTGGATAGAACTACAAATGGTCAACAATCCAATCGTTTCTATGTCTGTACACATAGTTTGCGTAAATTTTTGTTTCCAAAACAGCACAGCATTAAATACGATGGATGTCGCATTATTCAGCAGACGCACGGAAGGAGACAGAGAGGGAGACGCGCACACTATTCGCCATTATCTTGTTAGTTTTTGATTACATTTGAATAATTTCTTACGGAAATATTTAATTAGAGTGAATATCCACCGCACGCGTCTCACTTCTTCTGACTAATATAGATGGAAACGAGTGCGATTCATTTGCACATTCCCGGCACGTAGTTATACACCAATCTTTGATTGGCAAGTAAAATAATATGGCTTTAATCTAATTGAGTTGATCAAATGAAGTTACTGTATAGACAACCGTTCAGTCCGCCGCCGCTGCCGCTCTCTGTTATTCACGTTTCATTCATTATTATTATTTATTTTAAAAGTCATTTACACCGAATTGAATGCGAAAAAATACTGCAGCCGATTGCATGGGCAGTGACTCTCTTTGCAACTTGAACACAAAAAAACTGGAATTGAAAATCGCAAAGTGAACGCATCAAGGGAGTTCAAACAACAATGTATTAAAAGTCGTAAACGAATCGAAGAGAAAAAAAGCCATTATCCAGTGTTTTATCGACTCAAAATTGGCAAATGGAATGACACACGAATATAAAAATAACGCGATCAAAAAATAGCAACATGGAATTCCAGTGCGATCAAAAGAAAATCACGGCGAGATAAAGAGAGAGAGAGAGAGAGAGAGAGAGAGAGAGAGAGAGAGAGAGAGAAAGACCGAGAAATGAAAAAAAAGTTGTATAAACTACAATTTGACGGCGATAAGAGACGGATTTGCGACGTAAGCGAATTCCTGCATATTAATTCTAATGATTTTTCTATTTGCGCGAAGAGGTCCCATAAAAATATTTCGTTGACAAGACGATTGGGGCCGGTTTGTAGCGCGGTGATTTAATTGTTCAAGTAGCAATCAATCCAACACCTAATTTGATCATATTTCAACGATTTTGATCCATCAGCATTTTTTTGGGGTTTCCTCACTTTTTTTGCCATTAATCCGTTGACTGTGACTTTTTTCGGTTTCCCTCTTCTCCCCCTTTAGTTTTTTTTTTTTGGCTGATTTTTTTTTCGCTGCTTCGCTCGCAATGACGGATGTTTATTTTGCGATAAATATTTCTAAGCCAGCCAACGTTACAGCTGATCGGTAAATAACAATACACAAAAAAAACATGTGATTGAAAAAAATGGAACTGTAGACTGAATTAATTGTCTTCTGTTCCGGGTGTATGAACGAATTGAGCAACATTCCAAATTTATAGTTTCATGAATTTTTATGATATGACTCTTGTGTTGCTACCGATCATCATTTATGCGATTCATTTCGATGGAATTGACACAAAAGTTCACTGCCACAAAATTTTCGATAACGTTTTTTTGTCGTTGTCTTCATCATCGTTGTTGTTCTTTTTACTTCTTCAGAATGTCAGTGCGAGTCATGGAACTTTTCTATGAATCAAATGAAACTGTTGATTGGCGTTTCTGCATACTTTGTTCTCTTCAATAATTTATTTGTCGCTTTTTTTCACGTCATTTCATGGAAATACAAATAGAGAGGAAAAGACATACAGAGAAAGACGAGAAGCAAACCGAAGCCGATCTCTCTCTCTCTCTCGGGCAGTTCATGAAGCATTTTATAAAAAGCTGATTTCATACACTTAACGCTACAAATACACAACATTGTTGTGTGTTGTCAACAAACGACATGAGCAAGAAAATTTTGTGTACGAAAAACAAAATAGAAAATGAAATAATATGTTTATTATAAAAATTATAAGTGGCGACATGGCGTCAATCGTGTTCTGTTTCGGTTGTTTTTTTTTCTTACTTTTTGCTTCGCTTCTCTCACTCAGCCATTTCAACTTTATTTTAAATATATTACGAGCACATAAAATGTGATAAATAGATCTATGTATTGACTGTTATAAGTATAAATAGAAACACTGTTGTTCACTGTCATTCGAATTCGTTTTAAGTTTGACGTGTTAGATAATAGACATCATTCCATTCGAAAATGGAGTGTGTGTGTGTGTGTACATTAGACACGTAATCGAATATATCTCGCACTATGCAGTTGGTGTTTTCAATAAAACTCATTATTAGTCTTGTTTTATGGACTCAATACAGTGTTAAACACAATTCGATCTGTAATTTATGAGTAGCAGCAGCAGCAGCAGCAACGATTTCGACGTCGGCAGCTACAACCATATCACCTGAAAAAAAATATATCGATTTTTATCAAACACAATCGAAGTTGATCACAAGATGTGTTTGTGAAATCTCCAGTAATGACCGTATTAAATAGAGGAACGACTCGTTCCGAACGACGATAAAAACAAGCAGCAGCAACGAATTTTGCATTCTTTTCACTCCTCGTACAGTGCAAAAAAAAAAACGCAAACCAAATAAAATAAAACGAAGGATGTAAACGTGCACAAATATATCATGTTTTAATTTAAAATAATGATAATAATGGCGCCAATTTGATTTCAATGGTGCGGCCTGTGAACACATTGTATATATATTTTTGGTAAATGATTAATAAATGCATGCGAGAGAATGCCCGTTGCACTCATACTAGATGCTAAAATCGAAAGCAGTTGATTTTTCCACTTGTGATGCACACACACACACACACAAATGCACAATCGCTGCACTATTCGACGTTTGGAATTGAATAGGAAAGCTCCCTGGCAACATAAAAAATTCGAATTGCATATTGAGTCAGTACAAGAAGAAGAAGAAAACAACTATGTCGTTTCTTCTTGTTGTTTTTTTGTTTCAAATTGGGGATCAACGACAAAAATCATAATTCGATACTGTTTTTGTCATGACTTTCAGCTTGAATTGCTGCGTCTGCATTACATCACTTTGAGAAGAGAAAAAAAAATCGCTTTTTCTCGGTGCCACACATTCACATCCATGCAATTTACGAATTTTAAATCAAATGGAAAGACACACACTCTCTATCACATCACACACACACACACACACACACACACACACATAGCATAAACACACGACGATGAGTGACTTTCAGAACAATCTTGCATTTCCACATCATCTCTGACGTTCTTACCCAGTCGACAGCTGACGCACATGCTTGTTTCAGAAAGATGAATCAAATTTTTGTTTCACATCTCTCATTACTGTCGACAAATGATTTTATATCAAGTTCATTTTAACGACTTGTACGAGCGCGCGCGCGAGTGTCAGCCCCACAAAAATATTTCAATTCAGAGACATTGCATGTAGTTTTGGAGCGTGTTTAATTCTTTCGTATTTATAAAGATGACGAATCGGTTGCTGTCTCTCTTTTGAAAAAAAAAATGTATACAGTAGTCTTTGAAATTGGCGAATCCTTTTCGACAATTTCAATTATCGAATGAATCGAAAACAAAATTTCACTCGTCTTTGTGTTTCTTTTTTGCAGAGATTTAATTGTACATCAAAAGAAATCCAATGTGACGAAACGAAAGCAAGATCCGTTTGCGGCACAGACAACAAAACCTATAACACCCGATGTCATTTGCTGCGAGCACAATGTATCAATCACAAAGTGAATTTGAAACATCGTGGCCCATGTAAAGGTACACTGTTTTCGATAAATTTTTGTTAATATAGTTTTGACTTTGCCACACAGCTACTCTACTCATACGTTAAATTTAAGCCATTTATCCTAATATTTATAATCCAATTCATATCGAAATAATATGCTAACGATGTTCAAATCTTTTTGCCAATAATATTTAGAATATTATTCGTACACAGAGTGTCTGGAAACTCGTACGTATGCGATCGCACATCGATCTTCGTCGCACAAGAAATTTGTGCCAAGATGCCGTTCGGACGGCACCTATTCGGCCATTCAGTGTATGGGCGGTGCCGGTTGTTGGTGTTCCGATGGCCAAGGTAAACCCATTCCGAATACTACAACAACGACGGGCAAACCAATTTGCCCGAAAATCAGTAAAGTTAACATTCGACGATCACCGTCACGAAGCCAAAGTGTTAGTCGCACAAAAAATCGAAGTCGCATTTGCCGACGAAAAGATCAACGTCTGTTCAATGGCAATTTACTGAAGAGCTTCTATGGTGAATATAGCCGGGCACATCCAATGGAGAACATGCCAACGGATAAAATTGTGCTCGACTGGAAATTCAATCAATTGGATGTCAACAAAGACGATAAAATACACAAATTGGAATTTAGAGAGATGCGGCGTTTGGTGCGAAAGGTAATGATGAACTTGGAACAAATTTTAAATTTGTTTGATATAAATCATCAATTAAGAATGATTCTCGAACGAATTGATTTCACTTAGGCGGTTAAGCCAAAACGATGTGCCCGTCTTTTCGGTAAGCAGCTCAGTTGTGACATTGATTTTGATGAGAAACTTTCGCGACAGGAGTGGGTGAACTGCTTAACGAAGGAGAAATACATTCGTAAGTGAAAATGGTGCCATTTTTATCCCAATTAGATTACTTTTTTACCTTTCCACCCGGATTTCCTTTTTTTTTGAAAAGTACTTTCCATCTGGAAAGATTCTTTCCACTTGGAAAGGACTTTTCTGTTAGTAAGCTTATGTCAGTTCTTCAATGACAATCTTTGCTTTTTTTTACTATAATACAGCGGATCATGGCAATAGATCACAAGGTGAAGACTATGAGGAGAGTGAAGAAGATGATTATGACAACGATGATGACGAAGATGACCATATCAGTGAGCGAAAACCGTTTCCGTTCTTCACACCAGTCACACCATATCCACCAGTTTATTGTACGTATGTCTTTTGGTGTGTCACTTTTTATGCTCTTTTATTTTAAAACTAAAACTAGAACTCTCTTTTATTGGTTTTCTCTAATCAACGTTGATAAATTCCAAAATGAACAGTGCTTCGATCGAAAACAATCATTGAAGCCGATCCAGTATTACGCGAAGCTGAAACTGAATCTGATTGCCTGACCGATCGAGCAGCCGCGTTAGACGAACAAAAAGTATGTTTGAACTTGATTTTCCCTTGATTTATTCCCAAAAGAACTAAAAATGATTGATTAAATGAAATCCCACAGAATGGTGCTCAAGCGTGGTATGTCCCAGAGTGCACAACTGATGGTCGCTATCAACGAATCCAGTGCTATCGTTCTGTTGGCTATTGCTGGTGTGTTCATGAGGACACTGGCAAAAATATTCCGGGCACATCGATAAAAGATGGCAAACCCGACTGTGCAATAAACGTTTCGCGGCCGATGAAAGGTTGCCCGGAACCACGAAAACTCGAATTTCTCAAAGAGCTGAAGGAGTTTTTGCGAACTCAAATCTCCAGTACGTCAACGAATAGGTATATTTCTATATTTATATTATTAATTTGTAATGATTAGAATCATTCCAAATGCCGATTCAAATGTTTCTGCATTTGCAGCGCTAATGCAACGAATTGGTCGAGCGACGAAGAGCGAGTAGCCACGTTGAGTTTTGTATTGATTGACAAAAATAAAAATAAAGTTTGGGAGCGAAAGGAATGGAAAATATTCCGCGAACTTGTCACCGTTGCAAGGTTTGAGCGAATTATTATTATTGTTATTATGTTTGACCTACATTTTAAGTCACGAAAAGTTTTTCGCTTGATTGGTCCAAATTGTTTTTTTTTTCTCTTCTCTCCCGTTCGTTTTTTATATTCTTTTTTTCCCTTCTTTTGCAGTGTATTGAAAAAGTGTGGTAAAAAAATGCCACGATATTGTGATCTAAATAATGATAAAAAACTAACGTTATCCGAGTGGCTGAACTGTCTTCAAGTGCCAACAAATGTGCAAAAATCGAAAACATCTGAAACGAGTAAGTCCGAATATAATAAGGTATTGACGAATAAATGGAATAGCGTCTAACATTCAAAAAAAAAATTTCTTCTCGTTTTTCTGATGATCCGATGGTGCTTAGATCAACAACGGCCGACACAAAGTGCCTTGAAACTCAAAGGACCGAATCCGCTAGAGTCCTATCTCAAAAGTGATTGAAATGAATAAATTATGGACAATAAATACATAGTCTACCCTAATGTTTAAGTAATTTAATTTTTTTTTTGATATGAAACAAAAATGAACAGAAGATCAAAAAAAAAATCCATACACATTTGCAAATTTTTACATTTCATTCTAATGCATTGTAAGCGTAATACCAGTATTTGTGAGAACGTTATTTATGTAACTATGAATAGTCCTACATCGGGGCGGGAATGGAACGAGAAAGAGATGAGGAAACATCCGCACGGAATATTTAGTTAGCATTTTAGATGTAGGTACGATTGTTGTGAAATATGTGTGAAACATTTGTACGAGATGACGATTGTAGCGAGCTGAGAGTGCCATGTATTTTTTTTTACTAAGACGACATATATAGTTTGTCTTGCAAATGCTTGTTTTTATAAATAAATACACGTAATGCACTATGCATCGATTGTCAAAAAGGGATCAAAATTTATATGTTTAATAATAATTAGGAATTGTTTTTTTAAGCATTGATTGGCATTTATCGCATCAAAATATTATACGTACATAATGTTTAGTTCAACCAGTGATTGATTCGAAATCGAAAATTTCGATTTTCCGAACTCTTTTGGATCATGTACAAAAAATTGTTTGTCCATCAATATACAAATATATTAAAAATCAAAATGCGGATTTCGTTTAATTGAATTGAAAAAAAAAACTGTATTTTTTTGTATCAAAAGAAATATCTTGATATTTTTTTAAAATAAATGCATCCCAATTATTTTGATTTAAACGTGCGACTTTTGATTCAGAGTCGGGTTCAAATGTGAGTCAGTTGAACAGCTTAAATCGTTTAAATGGCACCGAATTTGGAATTTGCCCTACATTCCGGAATCAACAAACATTGCTTCTCTACAGGGTGGCCCAGAATGACTGCTACTTATATTTTTGGTTTATAAAATTCACATTTTCCAATATGATTGAGTACTTCCTTTTGCCTTAAGTAAATGCGCCATTTATCTTTCTATTTTACATAGCGCGACCTTTTCGGGAAATGTCCAACCAAAATTTTACCATCCAATTATTGGGTGCACGTAATCTGTGGACCTTTGTGCTTCGACAAAATTCAGCTTGTTACAACACTATTCACTGCATAACGAGGGCAATGATAAACATGCATTTTCGGCAGCAAATTCAAGTCAAACCATCGGAATGTACCATTATAACTGTATTTACTTCAAAAACAAATATCCAATCACATTTAAATGCTATTGGATAATTTTTCTCACATCTTTTTGATAACTTAGATACGTTTTCGCATTGCATTTACTATTTGAATAGTGATTTTAGTCGATTTTCTACGAAAAATTCTTGAAGCCAATCAACTTTTTCATCTGAAGAAAACTATGATCGAAAACTGCGATTGAGGTTGCACGTCGTGGGTAAAAAATCACTCACCACACCAAAGTGTTTAAATGGATGACCGTTTAGGAACATTGTACAGTCTATGTACAACTAGAGTTCGAGTGTATGGTGTAGTATGGTCTCGCAAGTCTCTCACTAATTATATTACTCTATAAAAAGTGTGCCAATCATAAGAAGACCGATACACCGAAAGGAAAAAATGCAAAAAACATTTATGGTTCCCATTTGGTTCCTCATTATTATTACTCAAGATGATATGAATGTTGAATCTGAGATCTGAAATAGAAAGATGCAGGCCACACCTACTAAAGGCAACAAAAATCTCCCAATTATATTGAAAAATGTGTGATTTATGGCTAAAAATAGAATTGACAGTCTTTTTGGGCCACCCTGTGTATCAGCGTTATTATGTCACGAATATCATTTGTATCATAGTTTGTACTCGATTTTCATATACCAGTGGTGAAACTCTCTCCCCCAAATGAAAAGCGAAAACATGCAAAATGCAATAATCATACCATTGAACTTTTATACGAAAAATCAGAAATTTCAAACCAAACTAACTGCAAATTCTGGTAAATTCACTTGAATGTTTCAAACGTCCTGTCGAAATGATAAACATGCATAATTGCTTTGAATGTTGTTGTTGTTTTTTTGGCATTTTGCGTGTGTTTCATTTTTGAGCGTTTCGTAGGTGGAAAGTGGTGTAAACGAAAGCCTGTAGACCCAGGTCGTTGATTTTTCGCATGTTGTGCTATAACACATTATGAATCCAACCCATTTCCTATTTAGGTTATATTGAATATCGCACTTTTGCGGTTACGTCAACTGAAATGTAGAAATATGTTTGATTTATCCTGGATTATGATCATATAATGTGTGACTTGACTCTCTCTCTCTCTTTCTTTCTGGGGGTGTTCGTGATTAACAATGGGCTTCTATTATAAACTTCATAATTTTCGATCAACTGATAATCGTTGAATATGTTGTACCCATTTGTTAATCAGTGGCACTTCCATGAAATGAATATATCGATTGTTGACAAGGGCAATTGAAATGTCGCAATCATGGGCCAAATCAAAGTACAATGGCGCACCACATTGCCGTAGGTCTATTGTCAAAAGCGCTCAGTTAATCAATTATTGTATATCGATATGTTGATTTGCATGCTTTTGCTATCCCTCTCCTTCTCTTGCTTACGTGATTCAAGTTTATAATCATTTTGCGCTGGCAAGTCGCGAGGGCGTTTTCGTGAATGTTTTGCCTGGTTCGGTTCCTTCTGTTTTTTTTTCTCTTCTTTGCCATCTATATTTGGCGGTCGTCAATATATTTCAATTATTAGCGTTTGTTCGTCGTTTGTTTCCACTTTTCTTTTCATTTTATTTACTATGTTCGCTGGGTGAAAAACTTATTTTATCGATATCTCACACACTGAAAATCATCCATAGCCGAGTGCCAAAAGCGAGGAAAACGAGAAATGGAATTATTTATCGTCGTAGAATGTGTATCAATTCAATCAAAATCGATTAAACTATCGTGTATTCGTGCATATATATATAGTTTTTATTTCGTTTCGGGAGGGTGATTGCGCGCTTCGCCGAAAACTTTGCTTGTGCGGAGGAGCTGTTTAACCGAAAATATTCGTTCAGTATCAAAACGTATGGATTGGACAAAACACCATCATTGCAACGACTCTGACGCCAGTGCTTCGTGAAAGCGCCCATTCGCCTACATTCTCTGAGTGAGTCCCTTTTGTTTGGTCTTTGCTTGTACACAGTGTGTTTTCACAAGCATAAAATTGCGAAAGCACGTGATTCTCGTTCACAAAAACGTAAGTTTTATGAGACAATCAAAACAACATTTCGTTTCGAAGAATTTCCATTGAGACATTTACAAAATACGGAAAACACATTTGACAATAACAAAAATGGCAAAAATCTTGGTTTGACTGTTGTAAATGCATTTTTTTCTTTATTTTTATTGATGGTCGAAATGTTATAAATGGACCAGATACTACGTTAATTTTGGTCTATAGATCAACTAATGCCCAACACTTGGACTTTTTTTGAAGGTACAATAAAATGTCATGTGCACGGCCACCAAATTTTCTTTTGCGTAAACAAAAGTCACTGGTTTGTGAGTCAGTGTGTCAAACGACGACGATCTGCGCTCGCGAACGTCGACTTCGTTTGCAAAAGCAATATTCGGTCGATCACGGTCGCGACATTTCTGCCCATCGATCAGCGAACAACAACAGCAACAACGGTCAGATTCAGCAGAAGAATGGGAATTTGGTCACTAACTCATGGGGCTGTAATAATCCATCACCCGAAGCTAGCCTGCGTATTTTTACCGCCATCAAAAATAAGACACAATCTCATGAAGGCGACTCGAATGAGGAGTGCGTAATTTAACATTAAGTCTCTTCTTTTCAGTTGTTTTTGTCGTTTTTTTTTTGTTTGGCTTCAAAACTCCAAAGCACAACGTCAAAATAAGCTTTCGAATGAAAAACAAAGTTTGTAATTAACTTTATGCCGGCTTGATAATTATTCACTTACATGCTGTCATGCAATTAACGTTCATTCGTTGCGTTTAATCTGACACACACCGCTCTTTGCATATACTTGATTGTTGTGAAAGAAGAATTTACACGTGAGCTCAAGTGAAATCAGCCAAAGCGTGCACTCCTGTGAACCGCTATCGATTTATCGGCATAAAAGTGAATGGATTGTGACGGTTATATATTTACTACGTTGCAGCTATTAAATTTTGTGCAATTTGTCATAAAAAAAACTTGTTCCAACCCGATTCATTTAGTTTTTACTAATAATTGCGTTGCGGTGTGTTAACCACCAACCAAACATCACAACCATTCAACAGCAATCCAACACAAGTCAACTATCGTATGAAACCGATAGAATAGTCCAGTATAGAATAATGGTTCATTACATGCACGTTTTGACTGCATTTTGATTTTGATACAATTGATCAGAATTGAGCAAAACACAAGTCAACTTAAATGATTCTTACAAAAATTCGGGCTTAAAAATAAATTCAAAAACAATTAATATTTTCAATCCTCTTTTTAAATTCTCATTTATCAAACGAAACGTTGTGCTGGCAAAATAAGAGTGCAAAAAAGCTCGGAAAATATTCCGTTGCCGAATAAATCGCGTAAGAAGAACGAGGAGAAAATAAACCTAAATATCTTTCTCGCTCATGTACCCGAGCTGGATTTGGGTAGTGATTTGGAAAGCAATATCCGACAAACGAATGGAAAACCGGTAGAACTTTTTCAAAATGCATGTTTTCTCTCATTTCAATTTTTCCTTAAATCTTAAAAAACTATTTCTAGGAAAATGCAGGTGATCGAAGTGATACGAATAGGTCGATGGCGAATCGGCTGACGGTGGAAACACGGCGGAGTCAATTTCGTCAGAAAAGTGTATCTCTAAATGAAACTCGACCACGATTGATTCGTGCAATGTCGGCACCAATCCGTCCAAATCCGCCACCAGAAGCACAAGATAAGGTCATTGCAACAAATGCGAACGGTCAAATGCAAAGTGGGTCTAAAAGGCGATTGCGGCGTAAAAAAATCGCACCAATCGAAATTGATTCGTTTAGCTTGAAAATAGCGCAATCACAACCGTATGCGAGTAAATTGGTGTCGCAGCGAACATTTGATGAGCAGCGCCCATCAACCGCCAAGGCAATAAATATCCATCCACTGAAATCATCGGCCAAACCACCCAAACCAATTCTACAGCCTCGCAATAAATCAGCGATGCACGGATGTGAAATCGTCACTCTCGTGTCGTTGCTGAGTCCCGGTGCAAGTGACTCAGAAAAGGAGGATTATTCCAATGGCGGCAATGATAGCCCAAACGAAAAAAGTACTCCATCGCTGCGAAAAGTGGGAAAATCGGGTAAAATCGCAAATATCCAAAATTCCCCCGCGGTGAATAAATCAATTTCGTTTCGTTTGATAGTTTCGTTTCAGGATGACGATAGCCTGTGCGATGATGATCCGGTGATTGATTTACCCTCCGTACTACGACGAGCATCTCTTGCACCATTGGCTGCTAAAATTAGATTAAATCGTCCTCCAACCGCACCGCCCGGTTCAATATTCCACAAATCCATTGCAATCAGGTAACATTTATCAGTTCATTGCAATCGCGACGACAGTGACTAGAAAAGAGTTTGTTGTTTATTTCTTTCTTTTTTTCGCGTAATTTGGTGACATGTAAATTCGGTGATTGGCAAATGACGTTTTCACCTTGAACGCGCTTCAATAAAATAAAACAAAAACGAATATTGTCAATTGAACGGGAGCATAAATGGCTTGGTTTGAAGTACCCCCATCTCCATCGCTTGAAAAATCTAAACGACATTTCAATTAGCGTCATTTGCACGAAAGGCACATCGTATATATGGAGAAAAAGAATTCAAGTACATGGCGCCGAAGTATTACAAAAATCGCGTTCGAGTGCCTAATCGCTGGAGTGCACGCATCTTTCCACAATGTCAATAATAGTATATGACGATTAATCCAAATTTATTGCCAGTTCATATCATTCATCTTTGCTCGGCGAAACGAAAAATCGTTATGACGCTCAAACTGCGTCGACTGTTGATTTTCCTTTAATTTTATTTCAATTTCATTTTTATTCATATAACAAAATGAGTGCGTATGCTTGGTTGGTTTGTCTTTTGTAACAGTGAGAACTCCGCCATGAGTGGTGACAACAAAGTGGCTGCTGGCGGTGCTACCGAAACGAGTGAGTCCAAGGTACATACAATTTTGCCATTTGGTCATCCAAATGGTGGCGAAATATCCAAAGTCCCCATTGATATTGTGAATGCAACGGTTCCAATGCGTAAACCATCCATCGATATATTGGATCCAACCACCATTTATCCCGAGTACGTGCGTAGCATTAAAGAGAAAGAGTGCTGGTTACTGTTTCAAAAAATGGTGAAAAAAGGAATTGCCGTAAGCTACGAGACAATTTTACGTGGCATGCTCACACCGTCCGAAGTTCGTGCCGTCGAAAAAAAGCAAAAAGAAATTGTCGAACGACAAGCTAGTATCGATTTGGAAGCAGCGGCAGCAGCTTTGGCACCTGCCGATTGTGATAATAACAAGAAATAATTTGGATTGTGTGTAAGAATTTGTTTGTTTGATTTGTTGAAAGTTCATTGTTATTATTAGAAAAATCAATTTATTTACAATTGAATAAAAAGTCTATTCTTGAATATTGTTTGCTCCCCAGTTCATGCTCTTTTTGGGAAATATTTTTCTGCATTTTATTTCTTTGTTAAATGCGTTTTCGAAATTCGCGTTCAATCAAACAACTATTTTTTTTCCTTCTGTACACATTTTTCTTCCTGGAATACATATTTGATTGGCATGAATAAAAGAAAAATGTTGGTTAAATTTCGTCTTTGGGAATTTTCATTTCAAAAAGTTAGCTTGACAAAAAAAAACAGAAAATACAAACCATATTGCACCACTCGAATATGACGAATGACAAAGCCATAGTAGCTTTGTATGTGCTATGTTTTTATCTCCCTGATGAATCGATCCTTTTTTCTTTTCAACACTTTCTAATCGAACGAATTAATATATACAGTTGAATGTTATCTTCGAAAAATCAAAATAATTCTTTTCATTTGTTTTGTCAAAATGGAAAATCCATTTTTTCAGTGAAAAATTCAAACTCAACGTCATGAAGTTGGCTGCGATCCAATGCGACTGGAAATACTTCCAATGAAATGAGGCTAATGACGTTTTACATTTGTCACAACATATAAGAAGAGAACAAAAACACTAGAAAGACCCTCTGAAAATAAAACTATAAAATCGCGAGAAAAAAAAATCCAAGTAAAACGATTAAAATATCGGCAAATAAGATTGAATCGAAAATATAGAGAACGCTACGGTATAACGTGGGATAAAGAAAAAATGTGTTTTTGTCGAAAAAAATAGATAGTCGAGTTCGATCGGGCACAATGAGATATTGTTTCGGAATGATTATTTTGATTTTGTTGAATGAATTGTACGAAATCGTAGCTGTAGATATAGATTGTAGCACATCGTTGCGGACAGGACAATACATGTGCCCCGATCCATCAATAAATCACATCGATGCAAAGACACAGCAACCAATCGGTTGCACCAAAAATAATGTCGCAAAAGTGTGGTGCATAGCTGCTGACGGTATTGTTTGTAGCGAAACAAAAAATGCATCGTTCAAAGGTGAAATCCCGTGCCGATGGACGTAAGTAATTTGCAAATATTGATTTCATTTGATCATTTAATCATCGTAAATGTATTGATAAACAATGGTGATTTCTTTTCTTTTTTTTTCCGCAGAAATGGATACCACTTTGATACAGCGTTACTGTTATCGATATTCCTAGGAATGTTTGGTATCGACAGGTACAGATTCACCGTTTTCGTTATGTTAATAATATGTCATTTGCCCTGATAAATTGAATAAGACAAACATCTAAATAATATTTGATTAATTCCCAGGTTTTACTTGGGCTATCCAGCAATTGGACTGCTCAAGTTTTGTACGTTTGGTTTTATGTTTCTGGGCCAATTGGTGGACGTGATTCTGATAGCAACGCAAATGGTTGGACCGGCCGATGGATCCGCATACATAATATCCTATTACGGACCTGTTTTATCTGTGATACGTAGTGATAATGCAACATATCGTCGACCTCAAAGCGATTGGTGAGAATAATACCCCATCAACGCACAACACACTAACCATAGGCAATTTGGATCCACGGCGACGATATATTGTGCGAACACGAACAATTCAATTCAACTCTCATGCTTTGTTTGACTGTACCTGCCCGCCTCAATTGTGTGCGGTCAATCTTTCCAAAATGTAATTTAAACAAAACAAAAAAATAATAGGCTTAGGAGATGGTCCTTCTGATTGAGACACATTGAGCTGAAACCAATGTAAAGCTGAATTTAAACACACAAAAAATGCAGATAATAAAGTTTTTAACTTTTTAGTTGTAGAGAGAAATCAAATAAACGAGTTTCATTACACATGTGTTGTTTATTTAATTTTTCTTTTGTTTTCATATAATCAAATCAAAACGAATTGTTTAAAAAAAAAATGAATAGTCCGTTTGTCTTTTTGTTTCATCATTTGTTGGAAACTTCAATCACCACCACACAATAAATTTCTTATCATTCCAAACCGTTAAAATGTCAAAATTTCGAAAATTCAATGCAATAAATATGCTGGTGTGTTGTTCGAAATATGCGATGGCGGCATACATATGGATTTTGGCCATCGAATCTAAATAATTCTAAACAATAACATTTCTGATCGGATCTTTGTGGTTTTTTGTTGTTGTTGTTGTTGTTGTTGTTGGTATATAATGTTTGTTCACTTGTGTTGAATAGATTAGATATTTGGAATGGATAAATAGTGCTTGTGCCATATATCTATACAAATACAATTTCTTAGAACGACGATTTGCCGAGACAATCAAAGACAAGAGAGATCGTGATGATGTGCACAATGTTCGGCAATGTGATGGATGATATATATATATTCTCAATTCTAAAATAAATAATAATAAAAAGTACGTAAAGGGAATCGGTGACTATTCCTGATTGGATACATAAAAACTCTTCTATATGATCTCTCTTCCATTCTGTTTCTAATAAAATTGGATAAACTTCGAACTGAATGACTGAATTGAATATTAAATTATTTCAATTTTGCATGTGATTCGATTGTAAATTATATAAAAGATAAGTGTCTTTTTTCTTTTCTTCTTGCTCCACTAATTATACCTAATTCAAACACACAGGACAACACAGCACCAGCGGCTGCTCAGCTCAAAAATTAATTTCCATTGCACTCTGATTGCGTTCAGCCATCAGACTCAACAGAAAATTACAGAATAATGAAGAGAAGTATCACAATAAATAAAATGAGTGAAAGTACACCTATGGCAATCCATTGACGCTTATCTGCAAAGAAAAAAAGATGGAAAGAAAATCAGCATTTAGAAGCAGCGACGGATATGCATAGAAACAAAAGGGGTAGGTAGGCTGGCAGTTTGCGTGAGCCGCAAATCGAACCCACGGGAATATTTAATTACCGTTATTCAGATTTAGCACTTTAGCCATTTTCTTCATTGTTGAATCCATTTTTGATTCCGTGGTCTCGAGTTCATTACCGAAATCATCGAGCATTCTGTAATTAAAGAAGGTTTGAAGGAGAGAAAAAAAAACGTTAAAATGCGGCATAGAGAAGCGTGACACATCATGTAAATAAAACAAACAGGGCGTTGTTTTGCTTACACAGCTTGTTCGTCTAGTTCAATATTGATTTGGCGTGAGACCGTTTTCAATGTGCCAATTGAATCGCTAATCACATCAAGCTGCTCGTCTTGTCCTTGTAACATTCGCTGTTGGACGGACACACTTTCACCCAAAAATCGATGCGATGGACTGTCCAATGCTGATGTACCATAGTGCCCCGGGCTGTCCAGAGAATTCTCCAATTTGGAGTATTTTGTTCCGCTATGCCTTGCCATTGTACCGACGATTGTTGTCTGCGTTGATGAAAAATAGAACGAGAAACGATTCAAACATTCAATCCGAAATTATTACACAAAGAAATTATTCATAATTTTCTCTGGTTAGCATAGCCTGATGTACCAAAATAGTGGCTATTTGTTTATTTGAACCAAACACAATACAACAAACACACTGCATTTGATTAGCACGCAGATCAAACATGTTACAACCAAAACGATCATGTGCAAACAATCGATTTAGGTTTGTTTGCTTGTATCTGAAGTCAAATCTCGTTCAACTCACCGTGAAACTAGATGCTGAATTTGTGTTGATACAATTATTTGCAATCAAATTGTTATTAATACAGTTGTTTGCGATCAAATTGTTGCAGTTATCGTTGAATGCGCTGCCTCCGATTGTTGATTGGTTATTATTATCGAGTAACGGTTGATTTGCTGTGATATCTTTGTCCCGATTTCGGTTCAGGCTCATCTTCTCCTTCATCGACTTGACCTCATCGCGAGTAGCATCGATGAAATACCGTCGGCTATTCAATTCTTTCTGGTCGATCTTAAATTTGCTGAGGTTTTTCTCAACGATAGGTATTTCTGTGGTTAAGGAAAATGGTGCGGTAGAAGGTTTTGCAAGGTGGAAATAAAATGAATGTTAAATAATAATTTTGTCAGAACATTTTGTGTCAAGAATAGAACAAAAGCGAACGATGCGCGTCGTCAATTGAAAAGGATATTAATTGTATCTTCCAGATCCTCCAAGTCCCATTCGATGCTTCGTAATGAATTTCTCAGTTCGGTTGTGGTCCATTCGGTTTCGGCACCGCCAGCGTTGCCCAAATCCCGCCAACGCAAGTACAAGCCTCTGCAAAACGGAGCATTTTGGTGAGCATTTTCTTTTCAAAGTCGTAAATAAAATGTGTGTGTATGTGTGTCTTACCTCGTTTTATTCAATGCCTTGAAAACTTCGCTGCAAAAACACAAAATAATAGATTATTTGATCAAATAACCTATGTTAAGTTCATCCAATTGCAAGACATTCAATCTATCAGTACATGCGGGACTTAATGACTGAATTCATGTCGATATGTTTGTTTTTTTTTTTTTGTATCAATACATATGGGTTTGTGCGTGTATTGGAGCGGACAACAAACAATCGGAATATCGAAATTCAATCGGAAAAGTTAAATAACTAGCAGCAATATTGTGGTGTTTTGTTGTGGCAGAGAGTGCAAAGGATTGGGACTTGTGTTTGTGTGTGTGTGTGTGTTTCAGTGTAAATGAGAAAGACATGGACACTTCAACAACATTGGCATTTCGATGAATGTTTCGTTTTTCTTTTTCTTATGTCTTGCCTCTTCTTCTGAAATATGCCACGCATATGCGTGTTTTTAACATGAATACTTACTCTTTCACAACAAAAAACGGATCTTCCAAAGACATGTCCGGAAACAATGAATAAACACTTAATGCGCGAATGATTAGAAAATCAAGCTAATTTCTGTCGTTTTTTGTTTATTTTTTTTCCCTTTGGTTTTGGAAATTATTTCAGCTGTCCTGCCGATTATCTGATATTGTCTCCTTTGTTTGGTTCATTGGTTAAACAATTGCACTCATTGCTCTCGATTTGGTGCGATGACGACGACGACGACGACGGCAGTCAATTGAAATCGATTTGTTTTCTTAAGTAAATACTTCTTGTTCGATTAGAAACTGTGTGTATGTTGGACTTTTAGCTATTCATTCTTATCACTCGATGAATTTCTTTTTCGTATTTAGAAACAACCACTTGACATTACGAATATTTTTTCGACTTGTATCATGTAATTGAGCGAAAAACAAGCAATACTTTTTGAAATGATATCAAATGACTATTGATAATTGAATGTTTATAATTCTTGCAGTTTAAATGCATTTCCCATTTGCAAACTTATTGTGTTTTTTTCATTCGTTTCTTTTCTTTTCTTTCTACCTCTATCTCTCTCTATGCGTGTATGTTTTTGTCGCTTCACTTCATCTGAATGCACAGCACAGAATGAATCAAAACAATCGAAACGAAATAGTGCGCGATAATTGTCCGCTTGTGTGCGGCGATTCAACAATATCAAAATTAACCGATTGAAATGTCTTTGATATTTAACGAATGTGCTCCGATAAAGCGATAGAAAATTATTTTTACGCTTCTTTTAGCAGTTATTTTCACATTAACCGAATGAAAAAAGCGAACTAAATCAATTTAGTGTGTTGTGATGGAAGTCCAGAAGGAAAAAAATTATTTCGTATAGCCTGACTCTCGCTCACATTTCTTTGAACACACGAAATGAATGAGTCCAAACTTACCGTCGACTCTATATATTGATCTGCAACATTGGCATTCCACAGGAAATTCATATGGAAAACCCATACAGCGCGTTTTTCCTCTCCTTTCCCTTGAGTTTACGTATTGGTGTGTTGTCCTTTTTCGCTCTGTATACAGTTCGTGCCAGAGAGTGAGAGTGAGAGGTGTGTGTTGGTTTATGTATTTGTTTGTGTGTGAATGTTCCCTCAGACTCGGATTCTATCTCTTTCTTCCGTATCCAGTGGCTGTATATGGAGCGGCGGCAAATTCGTGGTGCGATACCGAGACGAATATTATATATATGTGAGTGCTGCACACAAAATTGGTCACCCACACGCATCTACGTCGAATCGAGCACACAAACACTACAACAACAACAGCCCCCGAAAATTCCACATTTACTACGTATGACACACGATAGAACAAGGGTAAAATTGACGATGCTTGCCAAAAGAAGAATAGAATGGGAAAAATTCACACACACAAATCCACTACACCTGCGTACTGAAATGCCAAAAAAGACATTTTCATGCATCATTGTTGACAGCTGACTATGGCCATTGCGAAGTGTCACACACGACATTCAACGTCGAATACATCACAGCACCATCTGTCGTGAGACAGTCAAAAATACTCATATGTCTTACGTTACATTCAAACTTATATAAGATTTTTTCCCCTTTTTCAATTTTGAATTAATTTTCTGATCATTAATGCTTTTTGATGGATTTATTTGAAAATGAAGAAATTATTTTCATGAGCTCCAGGAGAAATTTCAATAATTTCATCATGAGAGCACTAGCCGTGAACGTTTTTCTACAGAAATGTGCACATATTTCGGACACTGTAAAAAATATATTTCAGATTTCCAAGTCCTATTTGCTGATCCGAGCAGAATTAGGCAAAAATAATGTGATTTTCACTTCCAAAACACATTGGACCAGGTCAGGTCCATATACTCCAAATTGATTGAAACCTCACAAAAAATGGTTCAAGTTTATAATAATTTTTGGATAAAATGTGTTTTAATTGTGTTTTATTGGTGCAGGAGGTATATCTTAAGTGTTGATCAAAGGTGACATGATGATCGAATCGACTGATAGAAGTGTTCGATCATCACAAATCGAAAGTGTGCGTTCGAAGCGAGCGATAGCACTGTAGTAACAAAAAAATGAACGATTCCACACATGAAGTGGCTGGCGAGCCGAGATAAACGTAGAACATCATTTTGGAAAGTTGGTGGATTCAGTTGAAAAAATGAATTTATCAAATTTTTTCAATTTTCCGAATGTGTTATGGTCTATTCATGCTTTTTTCTCGAAGAAGAGGTGATTTAACGTCGATGATGTGTACAAATGATATGCTCAAAAAAGTCCAAAGATA